GGATCTACACAGACGGATGGATGGATCTACACAGACGGATGGATGGATCTACACAGACGGATGGATGGATCTACAGACGGATGGATGGATCTACAGACGGATGGATGGATCTACACAGACGGATGGATGGATCTACACAGACGGATGGATGGATCTACACAGACGGATGGATGGATCTACACAGACGGATGGATGGATCTACACAGACGGATGGATTCAAGATTCATTTATCGTGTCCTGTAGGAGATTTGTCTTGGACTCACAACTGCTACATTGAAAATACACATAAGACAGACATAAAACACAACACACACCACAGATACACACAGATAGACACAGATCGACACAGTAAATTGTCAAACTCCAAAACACAGACATATTAAAGAGAGAGTGTGGATAAAATCAAAAGGAAAGATTTTTGAAAAAAAAAAAATACAAATTGAAACGAACCGTGAAAAATGTGGAACAGACTCGATGGTTTCACATTGAATTGCTTTACTACATTATTAAGTCACTTTATGTCTTCACACGGGTGTGTTTCAGTGAAGGGAGTCGATCTCTTTAACAGTCTGGAACAGTCTGGAACAGTCTGGAACAGTCTGAAACAGTCTGGAACAGTCTGGAACAGTCTGGAACGGTCTGGAACGGTCTAGAACAGTCTGGAACAGTCTGAAACAGTCTGGAACAGTCTGGAACGGTCTGGAACGGTCTAGAACAGTCTGAAACAGTCTCAAACGGTCTAGAACGGTCTGAAACGGTCTGGAACGGTCTGAAACGGTCTGGAACAGTCTGGTACAGTCTGGAACGGTCTGGAACAGTCTGGAACAGTCTGGAACAGTCTGAAACAGTCTGGAACAGTCTGGAACAGAAAAGTCTGAAACAGTCTGAAACGGTCTGGAACGGTCTAGAACAGTCTGGAACAGTCTGAAACGGTCTGGAACGGTCTAGAACAGTCTGGAACAGTCTGGAATAGTCTGGAACAGTCTGGAACAGTCTGAAACAGTCTGGAACAGTCTCAAACGGTCTAGAACGGTCTGAAACGGTCTGGAACGGTCTGAAACGGTCTGGAACAGTCTGGTACAGTCTGGAACGGTCTGGAACAGTCTGGAACAGTCTGGAACAGTCTGAAACGGTCTAGAACAGTCTGGAACAGTCTGGAATAGTCTGGAACAGTCTGGAACAGTCTGGAACAGTCTGAAACAGTCTAGAACAGTCTGGAACAGTCTGAAACAGTCTGGAACAGTCTGGAACGGTCTGGAACGGTCTAGAACAGTCTGGAACAGTCTGAAACAGTCTGGAACAGTCTGGAACGGTCTGGAACGGTCTAGAACAGTCTGAAACAGTCTGGAACAGTCTGGAACAGTCTGGAACGGTCTGGAACAGAAAAGTCTGAAACAGTCTGAAACGGTCTGGAACGGTCTAGAACAGTCTGGAACAGTCTGGAATAGTCTGGAACAGTCTGGAACAGTCTGAAACAGTCTGGAACAGTCTCAAACGGTCTAGAACGGTCTGAAACGGTCTGGAACGGTCTGAAACGGTCTGGAACAGTCTGGTACAGTCTGGAACGGTCTGGAACAGTCTGGAACAGTCTGGAACAGTCTGGAACAGTCTGGAACAGTCTGGAACAGTCTGAAACAGTCTGGAACAGTCTGGAACAGTCTGAAACAGTCTGGAACAGTCTGGAACAGTCTGGAACAGTCTGGAACAGTACGAAGATGCACGAAGAAGCCACAACATTAAAATCATTTAAAAGACTTTTCAATAGAAAAATAACAAGGTAAACATGGGAAGATAGAATGAAATAAATGTACTAACGAAGCTTTGGTCATGAGCTTTGGGTAATGACCGAAAGAACGAGATCGCGGATACAAGCGGTCGAAATGAGCTTCCTCCGCAGAGTGGCTGCTCCCTTAGAGATAGGGTGAGGAGCTCAGTCACACGGGAGGAGCTCGGAGTAGAGCCACTGCTCCTCCACGTCGAGAGGAACCAGTTGAGGTGGCTCGGGCATCTGTTCCGGATGCCTCCTGGACGCCTCCCTGGGGAGGTGTTCCGGGCACGTCCCACCGGGAGGAGGCCCCGCGGAAGACCCAGGACACGCTGGAGGGAGTATGTCTCTCAGCTGGCCTGGGAACGCCTTGGGGTCCCCCCGGACGAGCTGGAGGAAGTGTGTGTGGATAGGGAAGTCTGGGCGTCTCTGCTTAGACTGCTGCCCCCGCGACCCGGCAACGGATGAAGCAGAAGAAAATGGATGGATGGATGAAGAAAAAGTGGATATACAGTAATGTGCAACTAAAACATTATGAAGGTTTATTGGTTGTTTTGGTTTATTTACGTTTTGTGAACTGTCGCCAGTTGTTCTTGATCTGAAAGGTTTAGTAAATCCACTTTGGCCTAAACCATTTCAGTCAGAACTATGTTTTATCTTTTAAACAAGTTACTGACTGAAATAAAATGACTATTACTAAAACTAAATTATGCAGCCACAAGGAGAACATGCAAACTCCCCCCAGAAAGTCCCTGTTCTGACCAGGATTTGAACCCAAGACCTTCTTGCAGAGAAGCGAGAGTGCAACGATCTTAATGCGTCAAAATAAACCAAAACAGTCATAAATAATGGATTCATTCTCAGAGATTCATTCAATTACTGATATAGATATTTTAATCTCGTTAGAACACAAAGGTAATCAGTGAAATAAAATAAAACTTACAGATGTTTTCTTTTCTTCCCAAAAACATTTAATTCAGGCGATATCTCCATCGTATCACGGCCTTGTGTCAGTTGTTTGTGTCTGTTTATTATTAGCAACAGTCCAGTGTCAGTGTCTCTGGTCTCACACACGGAGATAAAGCTCTGCCAGCTTCACTCATGAGGAGGTCATGTGACGTTTGGATCCAACAGTACCTCCAACAAAGGCCATGGAGCTACAGCAAAGGTTACATCATAGATAACAATACATTTTATTGAGTTCTTTTCATGACTACTGCTGTAGACCTGCACCAGGCTGTGTAAGGGCTGTTTGACCAATAAGGAGAGAGATGGTGCTGGGCCACATGACCTCCACAGACACCGGACCTGAACCCAGTCCAGATGGTTTTGGACCTGAACCCAGTCCAGATGGTTTTGGACCTGAACCCAGTCCAGATGGTTTTGGACCTGAACCCAGTCCAGATGGTTTTGGACCTGAACCCAGTCCAGATGGTTTTGGACCTGAACCCAGTCCAGATGGTTTTGGACCTGAACCCAGTCCAGATGGTTTTGGACCTGAACCCAATCCAGATGGTTTTGGACCTGAACCCAGTCCAGATGGTTTTGGACCTGAACCCAGTCCAGATGGTTTTGGACCTGAACCCAGTCCAGATGGTTTTGGGGCTGGAGCACAGAGTGAAGGGGCCAACAAGTGCTAAGCATCATGGGAACTCCTTCCAGACTGTTGGAGACCATTTCAGGCCCTGTTGAAGCTCATCCAGAGAATATGCCAAGAGTGAAGCAGTATCAGAGCAAAAGGAGCTACTTTGAAGAACCGGGTTTCATACTTTTTTTTTAGCATGCACATAATTCCACATGAGTTAATTCATAGTTTTAATGCCTTCAGTGTCAATCTACAGTTTTCATAGTGTCCAAAACTCTGTCCAAACTCTTGGTCTGTACTGTATATGGCGCTTTTTGGACACTCAAAGACAGGTGGGTTTGGAGCAGAAATCTGAAGTTCTGAAGTGAGTCTGAGTGTGAGCAGCTGCAGTGAAGGCTCCTCAGGGTTCAGGCTCGGTCCTCAGGGTTCAGACTCGGTCCTCAGGGTTCAGGCCCGGTCCTCAGGGTTCAGCCTCGGTCCTCAGGGTTTGCCTGCTTGTTCTGATGGGATTGAGGAGGTTGAAGTCTGCAGCAGGGACAGCACTGATGGAGGAGGTTTGGTGAGGTCAGAGGGGGCAGGTTCTGGGGGCCAGTTCTGGGGGCACTTGTTGGTGATGAGGAGGACCTTGTGTTGAGTGTGGTCAGTGGAGTGGTTTGAGGATGGGGGTGATGTGGTCTCTGCAGGTGTGGGGGAGCTGGCAGCAGAGTTACAATTGCTCCTTTGCTTTCTCCGTTTCTCGTGCAGCTTGTGTTTCATCTCATCTTCTCAAAACACAACACATTATCGTCTCTCAGGACACAAGCCCAAACACTCTCCAGCCCGACACCTCTCCCACTATCTCCTCTGTATACTTCTTCAGTTTTTAAAATGTCTAAACATGTATTTAAATGATATATAATTCAATTTAAAGATCTCACTCTGATGTTAAAGTGGTTCTAATTTTAGGCACATGCAGATTGTTGTTTCCTCTTGTGGAGGGGTGTCCAAACGTTTTAGTCAGAGGGCTTTAGTTCCCCAGACTGGTCCAGGGGCTGATAACATAAATTCTATAACTGCTTTTTCTGTATTCGAGATGTTCTGAGCTTTAAATTTGGTCCACATTGATTCTCGCCACAGCTTCACTGGTGCCAATTTGTGACACAATCAAAACAAATGTGTGACGACACAAAGACACAACGAGGTACAACATGATTATATGGGTGGGGCTGAGGTTGGCTGGATGACACTATGAAAGTGCTAATGGCTACTTCTTGTTAGCAAAGCAAAGGGCCACAAACAATGACACAGTGTTTTTTTTTCTATCGGGGTGTCAATCAATAAAAATGTGACAATTTATTCTTCATGTTTTTAATCTGTCCATTTCCACGGTTTCTGTGGACAAAAGTTGAGTATGAAGCTCATTCATTTGAATATTGTTCCTAGTTAATGTATGTAGATTATGAATAATGTGGGCCTCAGTATTGACCCCTGCGGTACCCCACAGGTGTCTGTCTCTGTCTCCTCCTTATGTCATGCTTATGTCATGCTGTAATTCTGGGGCCAAAGTGCAAGAACTACATCCACAATGTCACGTACCAACATAGAGTAGTCAGTCAATAATATAATCATTCGATGGCGTCTCATGGGTCATGTTTGTCGTTCCAGGTTCAAATGCTTTCTGTCGCTCTCACCCACAACCTCCCTCTGTCGGGACATGAGCAGGATTCCCTCCGTGAGTCTGAGGGTGTCAACAATACAACTGTAATCTTTCTTTGGACTTTGAATAAATGCTGCCCTTTCCTGCCCTTTCTTTGACACAATAAATTGTAGGTGATCAGCGATTGCGATCTTACCCAAACAAAACATGACTACACAGTGATGCATACTGTGCCCCGGAGTGAGAGCTAAGAGGCTGGGGAGAGTGTGGACAGCCATTCATCCTGAGTTAGGGGAACACATCCAACTCTCCCACATTCTTCTGGGCTCAAAGAAGCCTGGGACACAAGTGGCCCAAACCTGGCACAGGGGCCGATGTTGCCAGGGACAGCAGCTCTACCCGGGCGCTGCTGGGGCCCTCATAGTTTAGCTTTTCCCTCTCATCTCACTTCCTGGTTCAAGAGAGTGGCCCAAGATTATTACAGTCCTGGACCAATATTCTTGTTTTGCCGTGAGCGGACACGTACGGCAGACTCGTGTGGAGAGAGCGTTAAAGATGAAGAGATGCTTTATTGGTCCCACGGTGAGGAAATGTCAGTGTTGCAACACAGTACAGAACAGTAGGGATGAGGATAGGACAAGATAAAGTATTCATGTGTATAATCTCTAACTATAGCATAATATTGAAGTAAGTATACAATCTGTAGCTTTAGCATAATAAAGAAGCTAGTATAAAATCTCTAGCTTTAGCATAATAAAGAAGCTAGTATAAAACTCTAGCCTTAGCATAATAAAGAAGCTAGTATAAAATCTCTAGCTTTAGCATAATAAAGAAGCTAGTATAAAATCTCTAGCTTTAGCATAATAAAGAAGCTAGTATAAAATCTCTAGCTTTAGCATAATAAAGAAGCTAGTCTAAAATGCTGCATATTGTAGTGCAAGAAACATTAGTTGTATGTACAGTATACATCTGTACATGTTAGCATGTGGCTAACACTAGCTAAATGGTCTGTATTGCTGCAAAAGAAGTCTAAATATCAACCTTGCTCAGCCATGTTCCTTCTCAATTACATAAGTGCTAATGCTCCAATTCTCTTAGCTCCAATCTGCTTAAAGACGTTCTCCACAACAGCGCTCCTGAACTCAGCCCACACGTTACCATGACACCCGTTTGATGTTGGAGGCAGATACAATTATAATCTATGGTAGTATTATCCATAAAACCCATTAAAATATTCTTAATGTAAAAACTGGAAACACAATGTTAAAATATTTCATAATGCTGTGCTGAGTTTATGTCACTGTGAAAGAGAGAAAACACCATCATCATAAACATGAGTGATGCATTCTGGGAAAGGCCTTGTTTCAAATGATCCTGAACCAAGTTGGGATAAAGGCTTTTTGGTTAAATCTAAACATGAGAAAAAAGTCAAAATTCCTTCATAATGTAAAAAACAATCCCAGACCAGCTCCTTGTCTTCATGTTCAGCCCAAAACCAAAAAGAATTTAAGTGAAATGTTCTGATTGTTCTCTGCAGTGACTCTGGTTTGTTTACGCTCTGAGAGGACGGAGAGATGGAGAGGGCTCGAGTCCCAGTGTGAGGAAGACTCCTGCTGCTGAGGAAGAGTCCTGCTGCTGATGAAGAGTCCTGCTGCTGATGAAGACTCCTGCTGCTGAGGAAGAGTCCTGCTGCTGATGAAGAGTCCTGCTGCTGATGAAGAGTCCTGCTGCTGAGGAAGAGTCCTGCTGCTGATGAAGAGTCCTGCTGCTGATGAAGAGTCCTGCTGCTGATGAAGACTCCTGCTGCTGAGGAAGACTCCTGCTGCTGATGAAGACTCCTGCTGCTGATGAAGACTCCTGCTGCTGATGAAGAGTCCTGCTGCTGATGAAGACTCCTGCTGCTGATGAAGAGTCCTGCTGCTGATGAAGACTCCTGCTGCTGATGAAGAGTCCTGCTGCTGATGAAGACTCCTGCTGCTGATGAAGAGTCCTGCTGCTGATGAAGACTCCTGCTGCTGATGAAGACTCCTGCTGCTGATGAAGACTCTCTCTGCTGAGGAAGAGTCCTGCTGCTGATGAAGACTCCTGCTGCTGATGAAGAGTCCTGCTGCTGATGAAGAGTCCTGCTGCTGATGAAGACTCCTGCTGCTGATGAAGAGTCCTGCTGCTGATGAAGAGTCCTGCTGCTGATGAAGACTCCTGCTGCTGATGAAGACTCCTGCTGCTGATGAAGAGTCCTGCTGCTGATGAAGACTCTCTCTGCTGAGGAAGAGTCCTGCTGCTGATGAAGACTCCTGCTGCTGATGAAGACTCCTGCTGCTGATGAAGAGTCCTGCTGCTGATGAAGAGTCCTGCTGCTGATGAAGACTCCTGCTGCTGATGATGAAGACTCCTGCTGCTGATGAAGACTCCTGCTGCTGATGAAGAGTCCTGCTGCTGATGAAGAGTCCTGCTGCTGATGAAGACTCCTGCTGCTGATGAAGAGTCCTGCTGCTGATGAAGACTCCTGCTGCTGATGAAGACTCCTGCTGCTGATGAAGAGTCCTGCTGCTGATGAAGAGTCCTGCTGCTGATGAAGACTCCTGCTGCTGATGAAGAGTCCTGCTGCTGATGAAGACTCCTGCTGCTGATGAAGACTCTCTCTGCTGATGAAGACTCCTGCTGCTGATGAAGAGTCCTGCTGCTGATGAAGAGTCCTGCTGCTGATGAAGAGTCCTGCTGCTGATGAAGACTCCTGCTGCTGATGAAGACTCCTGCCTCTTTGTCACAACAATATGCAAACAAATAAGTTCATCACAACTATGCATAGCAACAGTTGAATCCCACTGATCACCAAACCTAAGACTGACAGCTCAAACAGCAACTTTAAAGTGATAGTCTGTAACTCTAAATTAATTACAAATTTTAGGAAATGTGTTAAATTGACCTCCTGGCCTTAAATGTTGATATAAAATAAGTCATTTGATTAATTCTAATATTACGGGTAAGTCCCGCCTTCCCTGCTCTTAGCTATAGCTCAGAATCCACGATGCCGTCCTCGTTAACCAATCGAGTCATGCCAAGGGCTGTCAATCATCGGTGCTGATGCTCGCAGCTGCTCATGCTCAGTTGTTTGTTTTTGCGGAGCCTCTATTAGGCTCTGGAACTACATGAAAACTGAACAAAGAATTCTGAACATCCACTCTGAGGTACTTATGTATATACTGAACCTATATCCATAATCATTTATATACTGAACCTATATCCATAATCATTTATATATGAACCTATATCCATAATCATTTATATACTGAACCTATATCCATAATCATTTATATACTGAACCTATATCCATAATCATTTATATACTGACCCTATATCCATAATCATTTATATATGAACCTATATCCATAATCATTTATATACTGACCCTATATCCATAATCATTTATATATGAACCTATATCCATAATCATTTATATACTGACCCTATATCCATAATCATTTATATTCTGAACCTATATCCATAATCATTTATATACTAAACCTATATCCATAATCATTTATATATGAACCTATATCCATAATCATTTATATATGAAACTATATCCATAATCATTTATATATGAACCTATATCCATAATCATTTATATACTGAACCTATATCCATAATCATTTATATATGAACCTATATCCATAATCATTTATATATGAAACTATATCCATAATCATTTATATATGAACCTATATCCATAATCATTTATATACTGAACCTATATCCATAATCATTTATATATGAACCTATATCCATAATCATTTATATACTGAACCTATATCCATAATCAGATCCTCTGCAGATGAGTCCTATAATGTGCAATTCATGATAATAGCACTTCATGGTTGGCCGCGATCGCTTTTTTTGTGCATAAAAACATTATTTTTTTCATTAAAACGTTCACAAATAATTCTGAAAACCTCCATGCATGTGTATTAATAATGTATATGTATAATATGTTCTCTGATTAACTTTTCAAAGTGTTACGGAAACGTAGGTGTAGACCAATCAAAAAGGAAGGGGGAGGAGCTTGCGTCGTTTTTTTCAAATCAAGTACCTCTCTCTCTCTTTTTCTGACAAACTCCAGACAATCACTTTAATGGAAAACTTATTTACCAATAGCCTTCAGACACCAACCACAGCTGGGTTACTCATAAATGACATCAGCGATCACTTTCCGGTTTTCAGCATTTTCCACCAACTACTTGAAAGGCAAGGTTTTCACATCTCAAACAAAATACAAAACTGTGAGACACAGAACTGCATCAGCCACGGCTGCCCTAAGGGCAGATCAGGCCTATGCCACTGTGAACCCTGACCAGGTCTATGCCACTGTGAACCCTGACCAGGTCTATGCCACTGTGAACCCTGACCAGGTCTATGCCACTGTGAACCCTGACCAGGTCTATGCCACTGTGAACCCTGACCAGGTCTATGCCACTGTGAACCCTGACCAGGCCTATGCCACTGTGAACCCTGACCAGGTCTATGCCACTGTGAACCCTGACCAGGCCTATGCCACTGTGAACCCTGACCAGGCCTATGCCACTGTGAACCCTGACCAGGTCTATGCCACTGTGAACCCTGACCAGGTCTATGCCACTGTGAACCCTGACCAGGCCTATGCCACTGTGAACCCTGACCAGGCCTATGCCACTGTGAACCCTGACCAGGTCTATGCCACTGTGAACCCTGACCAGGTCTATGCCACTGTGAACCCTGACCAGGCCTATGCCACTGTGAACCCTGACCAGGTCTATGCCACTGTGAACCCTGACCAGGTCTATGCCACTGTGAACCCTGACCAGGTCTATGCCACTGTGAACCCTGACCAGGTCTATGCCACTGTGAACCCTGACCAGGTCTATGCCACTGTGAACCCTGACCAGGTCTATGCCACTGTGAACCCTGACCAGGTCTATGCCACTGTGAACCCTGACCAGGTCTATGCCACTGTGAACCCTGACCAGGTCTATGCCACTGTGAACCCTGACCAGGCCCACTGATGCCACTGTGAACCCTGACCAGGCCTATGCCACTGTGAACCCTGACCAGGTCTATGCCACTGTGAACCCTGACCAGGTCTATGCCACTGTGAACCCTGACCAGGTCTATGCCACTGTGAACCCTGACCAGGCCTATGCCACTGTGAACCCTGACCAGGTCTATGCCACTGTGAACCCTGACCAGGTCTATGCCACTGTGAACCCTGACCAGGTCTATGCCACTGTGAACCCTGACCAGGTCTATGCCACTGTGAACCCTGACCAGGTCTATGCCACTGTGAACCCTGACCAGGTCTATGCCACTGTGAACCCTGACCAGGTCTATGCCACTGTGAACCCTGACCAGGTCTATGCCACTGTGAACCCTGACCAGGTCTATGCCACTGTGAACCCTGACCAGGTCTATGCCACTGTGAACCCTGACCAGGTCTATGCCACTGTGAACCCTGACCAGGTCTATGCCACTGTGAACCCTGACCAGGTCTATGCCACTGTGAACCCTGACCAGGTCTATGCCACTGTGAACCCTGACCAGGTCTATGCCACTGTGAACCCTGACCAGGTCTATGCCACTGTGAACCCTGACCAGGTCTATGCCACTGTGAACCCTGACCAGGCCTATGCCACTGTGAACCCTGACCAGGTCTATGCCACTGTGAACCCTGACCAGGTCTATGCCACTGTGAACCCTGACCAGGTCTATGCCACTGTGAACCCTGACCAGGCCTATGCCACTGTGAACCCTGACCAGGTCTATGCCACTGTGAACCCTGACCAGGCCTATGCCACTGTGAACCCTGACCAGGTCTATGCCACTGTGAACCCTGACCAGGTCTATGCCACTGTGAACCCTGACCAGGTCTATGCCACTGTGAACCCTGACCAGGTCTATGCCACTGTGAACCCTGACCAGGTCTATGCCACTGTGAACCCTGACCAGGTCTATGCCACTGTGAACCCTGACCAGGCCTATGCCACTGTGAACCCTGACCAGGCCTATGCCACTGTGAACCCTGACCAGGTCTATGCCACTGTGAACCCTGACCAGGCCTATGCCACTGTGAACCCTGACCAGGCCTATGCCACTGTGAACCCTGACCAGGCCTATGCCACTGTGAACCCTGACCAGGTCTATGCCACTGTGAACCCTGACCAGGTCTATGCCACTGTGAACCCTGACCAGGCCTATGCCACTGTGAACCCTGACCAGGCCTATGCCACTGTGAACCCTGACCAGGTCTATGCCACTGTGAACCCTGACCAGGTCTATGCCACTGTGAACCCTGACCAGGTCTATGCCACTGTGAACCCTGACCAGGCCTATGCCACTGTGAACCCTGACCAGGTCTATGCCACTGTGAACCCTGACCAGGTCTATGCCACTGTGAACCCTGACCAGGTCTATGCCACTGTGAACCCTGACCAGGTCTATGCCACTGTGAACCCTGACCAGGTCTATGCCACTGTGAACCCTGACCAGGTCTATGCCACTGTGAACCCTGACCAGGTCTATGCCACTGTGAACCCTGACCAGGTCTATGCCACTGTGAACCCTGACCAGGTCTATGCCACTGTGAACCCTGACCAGGTCTATGCCACTGTGAACCCTGACCAGGTCTATGCCACTGTGAACCCTGACCAGGTCTATGCCACTGTGAACCCTGACCAGGTCTATGCCACTGTGAACCCTGACCAGGTCTATGCCACTGTCCCTGACCAGGTCTATGCCACTGTGAACCCTGACCAGGTCTATGCCACTGTGAACCCTGACCAGGCCTATGCCACTGTGAACCCTGACCAGGTCTATGCCACTGTGAACCCTGACCAGGTCTATGCCACTGTGAACCCTGACCAGGTCTATGCCACTGTGAACCCTGACCAGGCCTATGCCACTGTGAACCCTGACCAGGTCTATGCCACTGTGAACCCTGACCAGGCCTATGCCACTGTGAACCCTGACCAGGTCTATGCCACTGTGAACCCTGACCAGGTCTATGCCACTGTGAACCCTGACCAGGTCTATGCCACTGTGAACCCTGACCAGGTCTATGCCACTGTGAACCCTGACCAGGTCTATGCCACTGTGAACCCTGACCAGGTCTATGCCACTGTGAACCCTGACCAGGTCTATGCCACTGTGAACCCTGACCAGGCCTATGCCACTGTGAACCCTGACCAGGCCTATGCCACTGTGAACCCTGACCAGGTCTATGCCACTGTGAACCCTGACCAGGCCTATGCCACTGTGAACCCTGACCAGGTCTATGCCACTGTGAACCCTGACCAGGCCTATGCCACTGTGAACCCTGACCAGGTCTATGCCACTGTGAACCCTGACCAGGTCTATGCCACTGTGAACCCTGACCAGGTCTATGCCACTGTGAACCCTGACCAGGTCTATGCCACTGTGAACCCTGACCAGGTCTATGCCACTGTGAACCCTGACCAGGTCTATGACATCTTTTTGACCCAAGTGACAGGTCTTTATGATAAATATTGTCCTCCTAAGAAACATATAATCAAACAATAAAACAATCAAACAAACCATGGATTACAAAAGGTATAGCTAATGCATGTAAAAAGAAAAACCACCTCTATAAATTATTTCTACAGCAACGCTCTAATGAAGCAGAAACATGATATAAAAAGTATAAAAACAAATTGACCAACATAATTAGATCAAGCGAAAAGATATATAATAATAAATTACTGGAGGAGCAGAAAAATAACATCCAAGGCACATGGAAAGTTCTAAATGGAATACTCAAAAACAGAATTAAAAAAAGACAACCATTTAGTCAAAGATTAAATCATAATGAATAATAGCATAGATATTGTAAATGCATTTAATAATTTTTTTGTCAATGTCGGGCTCTTGCACAAGAAATAGTGACACCGTCACAAACCAAGGAAGTAACGTAAACAGTCATTTATTTATGTTTTTCTTTTAATGTTTTGTTGACTGTTGTAGTCTGAAATGAAGAGACTGAAATAAAACTAACTAACTCTGCTGACGCTGTAGCAACAGTCTCTCTGCTGCTGATGAAGAGTCCTGCTGCTGATGAAGAGTCCTGCTGCTGATGAAGACTCCTGCTGCTGATGAGGACTCCTGCTGCTGATGAAGAGTCCTGCTGCTGATGAAGACTCCTGCTGCTGATGAAGACTCCTGCTGCTGATGAAGACTCCTGCTGCTGATGAAGACTCCTGCTGCTGATGAAGAGTCCTGCTGCTGATGAAGACTCCTGCTGCTGATGAAGACTCCTGCTGCTGATGAAGACTACTGCTGCTGATGAAGACTCCTGCTGTTGATGAAGAGTCCTGCTGCTGATGAAGACTCCTGCTGCTGATGAAGACTCCTGCTGCTGATGAAGACTCCTGCTGTTGATGAAGAGTCCTGCTGCTGATGAAGACTCCTGCTGCTGATGAAGACTCCTGCTGCTGATGAAGACTACTGCTGCTGATGAAGAGTACTGCCTCTTCGTCACACTCTGCTGACGCTGTAGCAACAGTCTCTCTGCTGCTGATGAAGACTCCTGCCTCTTCGTCTCTGTGGACTCTCCCTGTGTCACACTCTGCTGACGCTGTAGCAACAGTCTCTCTGCTGCTGATGAAGACTCCTGCCTCTTCGTCTCTGTGGACTCTCCCTGTGTCACACTCTGCTGACGCTGTAGCAACAGTCTCTCTGCTGCTGATGAAGACTCCTGCCTCTTCGTCTCTGTGGACTCTCCCATGTGTCACACTCTGCTGACGCTGTAGCAACAGTCTCTCTGCTGCTGATGAAGACTCCTGCCTCTTCGTCTCTGTGGACTCTCCCTGTGTCACACTCTGCTGACGCTGTAGCAACAGTCTCTCTGCTGGGACTGTGTGGATCTCAGCAGCAGCAGGACTCTTCATCAGCAGCAGGACTCTTCATCAGCAGCAGTGACTACAGCAGGTGCATGACTGATCTTCATCAGCAGCAGTGGAGTCTTCAGCAGCAGCAGGAGTCTTCATCAGCAGCAGGAGTCTTCATCAGCAGCAGGAGTCTTCATCAGCAGCATCAGGAGTCTTCATCAGCAGCAGGAGTCTTCAGCAGCAGCAGGAGTCTTCATCAGCAGCAGGACTCTTCATCAGCAGCAGGAGTCTTCATCAGCAGCAGGACTCTTCATCAGCAGCAGGACTCTTCATCAGCAGCAGGAGTCTGCATCAGCAGCAGGACTCTTCATCAGCAGCAGGACTCTTCATCAGCAGCAGGAGTCTTCATCAGCAGCAGGACTCTTCATCAGCAGCAGGAGTCTTCATCAGCAACAGGAGTCTTCATCAGCAGCAGGACTCTTCATCAGCAGAAGGAGTCTTCACCAGCAGCAGGACTCTTCATCAGCAGCAGGAGTCTTCATCAGCAGCAGGACTCTTCATCAGCAGCAGGAGTCTTCATCAGCAGCAGGAGTCTTCATCATCAGCAGCAGGAGTCTTCATCAGCAGCAGGAGTCTTCATCATCAGCAGCAGGAGTCTTCATCAGCAGCAGGAGTCTTCATCATCAGCAGCAGGAGTCTTCATCAGCAGCAGGACTCGGTCTTCAACATGCTCCTATTCTGACATGTGAACTGTACATTTTGATCATTTGATGTATTGTTTGGTATATCGTTAAACACATGTAAAAGAATAAAGAAGAATAATAAAATAAAAATAAAACTCTTCATCAGCAGCAGGAGTCTTCATCAGCAGCAGGACTCTTCATCAGCAGCAGGACTCTTCATCAGCTGCAGGACTCTTCATCAGCAGCAGGACTCTTCATCAGCAGCAGGAGTCTTCATCAGCAGCAGGAGTCTTCATCAGCAGCAGGACTCTTCATCAGCAGCAGGAGTCTTCATCATCAGCAGCAGGAGTCTTCATCAGCAGCAGGAGTCTTCATCATCAGCAGCAGGAGTCTTCATCAGCAGCAGGACTCGGTCTTCAACATGCTCCTATTCTGACATGTGAACTGTACATTTTGATCATTTGATGTATTGTTTGGTATATCGTTAAACACATGTAAAAGAATAAAGAAGAATAATAAAATAAAAATAAAACTCTTCATCAGCAGCAGGAGTCTTCATCAGCAGCAGGACTCTTCATCAGCAGCAGGACTCTTCATCAGCAGCAGGACTCTTCATCAGCAGCAGGAGTCTTCATCAGCAGCAGGAGTCTTCCTCAGCAGCAGGAGTCTTCATCAGCAGCAGGAGTCTTCACCAGCAGCAGGACTCTTCATCAGCAGCAGGAGTCTTCATCAGCAGCAGGAGTCTTCATCAGCAGCAGGAGTCTTCATCAGCAGCAGGAGTCTTCATCAGCAGCAGGAGTCTTCAGCAACAGTAGGAGTCTTCATCAGCAGCAGGACTCTTCATCAGCAGCAGGAGTCTTCATCAGCAGCAGGAGTCTTCATCAGCAGCAGGAGTCTTCATCAGCAGCAGTGACTACAGAAACTACACAAACAGACTTATAAACGTGACTATATTTATATTTACTGTATATTTATCCGTCAGAACCTTTTAACAAACACTGTTTCAGAACAAATCCAAATTAAACTGAAAAGTAAAGAGTTCATTTTGGAAGCGCACTGTAAAGAATGTCGAAAAACGGTAAAAATCTGACAAATATGGTTCCAGGGATTTAGCGTTTCCTCCCATGTTATCACCGTGGCTAATGTTTGAATTGTTTTTCAAAATAAAATGTGTTTAATGTTGAAATTTCATTGTAATTTTACAGAAATGTGTAACAGTGCAGGAGGTGGTTTAATGTCGTGTAATTAAGCAGTACTAGCTTCTTTAACTTTATAAAACAATCTGAAGTATGACATTAGAGTAAATGTATCTGTGTGGAAATAGATCTGAGACTAATGTTTAGAGTCATAACAAATGTAAGAGCTTCAGATTAAGACTAAGGAGAACACAGACTACAGCATGGGCTTCATTTAGAATCAATGGAATCAGAGAAAGCCACAAAACACACTGTCAGACAAGAAGGATAATCATGCAGCAGTAAAGAACAGACATAAAACTTGGCCTGAGAGCGGCTCTGGTGAATGTGTGACCTGTTTCTGCGTTACTCAGTCTGCGTTACTCAGTCTGCGTGTGCGTTCACCTATTGAGGAAATCAGGGGCTAATGTGGAAGAAAACTCTGATCTGAGGTCATGATAGTAAGTTAGCAGCTTTACTGACTCAACACATGGAGCAGAAGGGTCGAGAGCAGAGGGGAGGGCTGAGTGTCAGAGAGGAGGGAGGGAGGGAGGGAGAGGAGTGTGAGAGGGGAGGGAGAGGAGGGTGAGAGGGGAGGGAGAGAGGGGAGGGAGAGGGGAGGGAGAGAGGGGAGGCAGAGGAGGGAGGGAGAGGGGAGGGAGAGAGGAGGGTGAGAGGGGAGGGAGAGGAGGGTGAGAGGGGAGGGAGGGAGAGAGAGAGGAGGGAGAGAGAGAGGAGGGAGAGGAGGGAGGGAGGGGAGGAGGAGGGTGAGAGGGGAGGGAGAGGAGGGGGAGAGGGGAGGGAGAGAGGGGAGGGAGAGAGGGGAGGGAGAGGGGAGGGTGAGAGGGGAGGCAGAGGAGGAGGGAGGGAGAGGGGAGGGAGAGAGGAGGGTGAGAGGGGAGGGAGAGTTCGCCTTGTGGAGTCGCGGCCCCCTGCACTGGTCTCTGGTCCTGTAGATGCGCATAAAGACGCCTGGCGGAGGGGGCCACTGCACGGGACGAGGTAACGCTGGGACCCGGGCCGTGCGGAGGTTAAACATTAACAGCGCAGAAGTATAAACCGCAGCGGAGTCAGCGCTGAGCCGCGTCTCCTCATCCCGCTCCGCGGCTGCAGGTGACTACACCTTCTTTACTCTGACTCTGAGACTCTGGCTCCTGACTTCAGTGCTGTGCATCAGAGCCTGGTGCGCAGTAGTGCCTGTCCTCCATCAGGTTCTCATGTGCTCCACATGGGCCTGAGGCAGTGAGGGCTGCTCTGGGACACGGAGCCTCTGGCCTCGTTTAAATGAGCAGTAGAATAGAAAGGAGAGCTTTCCTTTCAGCGCTGACCAGGGGAGCACTAATTTACGCCTGTGCTATGTTGGGTCCGCCGCTGTGGGTCCTGACTACTAAGCAGCGGATTGTTTCAGCGGCAACGCGGCTGCGGATGTCGCAACATGCGGCAGCTTCAGGCGGAAACGCACACTTTCACACTTTCCTCCATCAACTTTATCTGTGTCTCTTTGAGCTGTGTCAGATCGCGGAGGTTTGGAATGTAGGCTCAGGGTTTGGTGGCTGTGTTTCTCCAAAGAGTTAAGTCCAAAACACGTTTGGAGTTGAGGAAAGTCTGTGCGTCCCGCGGCTCACGTCACAGTCACAGAATCACAGACATGTGGCTGGTCCTGTACGAACCTGATCCACATGATACACATCTATGACTCATGAGCCGCACACACGCACTTTATTTTGAAATGACGTTGTGCTTTTGTGATTCTGTGGATGTGACTTAACAGAGAAACAGTGCTATAGTTAGGAGCCAGGACAGATGCAGAGCTGGTCGGACTTTACATTGATCTGATCTTTCCCTTTAAGGTCAGACAAACAATTATAACAGCACATATCTGAATAAAACCTTTATGTTTAATCATTGACAAAGGTCTGAGACTGCCCTTTAACCTACACCTGTGCCTTAAAACCAAACTAAACCCAAATCTCTTTTCCAGGTGACAGCTTCATGTGGTCAGCACGTACTTTTCCGCAACTTGGTAATTCAACCCTGGTCCTGCAGAGCTTTAAATATCTGCAGTGAGGACCTCCCCGCAGACACGTGTTGTAAGGTGAGACACTCCCAGTCCCTGTGTTGCCAGGGCTGAGGACCAGTCTGTGCTGCTGTCTGACCCGCTCACACCTGACTCAGCTGTGCCTCCAGGGACTCTCTGCTCGGAAACTTCCACCTTCATGCCTTTTTGTGATTGTCTCTGGCTTGAGTGGATCCTGCAGTGAATGGAGAACTTACTGGTTCTACTCCCGAAGCACCGCCAGGAACACGGCAGATGCTCCACTGCGTGTGTTTCATCCCAGGGTGTATTCTCCGTGAGCGTCCGTCTCTGCCGTTAGACCTTTTAATGGGATAAATCAGTTTTTGAGTCGCCAGGTTCAACACCGATTCAAACAAACCCAGTCTCTCACGTACCATTTTCCTTCAGCCTATAGTTTCTGCAAAGGCGTCCGTATGGTACTTTGGTCGAAGGATCAGGATAAACTCCCTGGCATGGACATGTCTTCTGGGGCTAATGACGTGAAGAAGGAGGCGGGTGCTTTGACTCCAGCCGTTTACCTCAACTCCAACTGCACCATCCACCCGGTCATCCTCACCAAGGACCGCGACGAGCTGGCTCCGGAGCCCGGCGACGAGTTCGAACTCAAGGAAGTCACATCCGAGCTAGCCAATGAGAACGAAGAGGACGCAGAGAGGTCAGACATGGTGGCGGCGATGGAGTGTCTGGCCAACGCCAAAGGGCAGCGCGAGGAGGACGCTCTGTTAGAGAACGCCAGCCAGAGCAACGAGAGCGACGACACCAGCCTGGACCAGAGCCCCGAGCCCTCGGCACCGCTCAAGGAGACCTCCTTCTCCATCGGACTGCAGGTGGTCTTCCCCTTCCTGCTGGCCGGCTTCGGGACAGTGGCCGCCGGGATGGTCCTGGACATTGTTCAGGTCGGTCTTTTATTTATATGTTTAACTCTTTAGACGTCACACTGCAAAAAGTGTTGGAAAATAAGTTAGAAATGACTCAAATCTGGCAAAATGTGTCTTAATTAAATTTTGAGTCTTAAAACAAGATTTACCAATGGGACAAAAGCAAAAATATACAATATCTCTGTTGGAATGAGAAAATACAGCAACAGTTCTTGAAATAAAGCTAAATGTATTTGTTCCTTTGGAGAATCTGGTTCTAACACAGTCAGAATGTGTCAGATTAGGATTAAAACACTTTGTATCACTTTTTGCAGTGCAGACTTGAGATTTGTTTTTTAATGTAGTGAAATATAGACAAAAGGCCTGTAACTATTTTCATCAATGCCAGAAACATGAAAGAACAACATTGTGGCAACTCAAAGCACCACATTTTAGGAAAAAACCGCCCTCTCCACTTTTTGAACAAAACTCTCTGTTCTTATTGGACGAGCACCAGAATGATTGACAACTGGGAGGACCAACAGTCTTGATGATCCACCCGGACGTAGAAAATCCTATATACCTTTAACAAGACAAGAATGTACACTGAGACACTAAACTCCTAAATATTCACAGTGCATTAAAAAGAGAAGAGTTGTTTTTTATATTTACTGCACTAGAGAAAGAACTTGGCAGATGTTTTTGGGAAGCCAGGTCCCTGTATAGAAAGTGTCCTGGATTCAGTTCATGTTGTAATCCTGCTACTTTGGCGCCAAAACGTCTGAGAAATGTGATGATGCAATGTTTTTGCTTGGTTACCACTAGATTAGAGTGTTATTGCGATGTGTGTGAGGCATTATACCAGAGAGAGGTCTGGGACATAAACATGGAATATTAACTAACTCTATCTTTATAATAATGTGTGATATTTTATTCACTGAGAGCTTTTTGGCTGAATGAGGGACTGAAGATGATAAATCTCTATCTTAAACATAATAAACTCCATCTTATCAGCAGTGAATTTGAATTTGCTCAAGAATGGGTGAAACTTTTATGGCAGCGACATAGATCTGACTTGGAAAAAACTCTAAAAAAAAAAAAAAACGTTTTAGGCCAAATTAACTTTCACTTAATTTACTTTACTTCAACAATGGGCTGCATGCACGGGGAGGCGTGACGTCATTTCCTGTTAACGACGCACAGCCCGTCCACTTCCTGCCTTTGCTATGATGTTTTTTAGTAATTAGATCGATACATTCAGCTCAGACTGACCCAAAAGTGTCTCTGTGCTTTCTCTCTGAGGTAGAGCTTTGACTGTGGCCACTCAGAGAGATTTATAAAAACAATGACAGCACAATCAAAGAGCACTGCTGTGTCCTAATGCACAGTATCCACAGATTAATTCCCGTTTGAGCATTATTTGGGAAACTCGTGTAAACCACTGAACTCCAGTGAGACTCCCGCCGTTTCCCGCGAACAGGAAGTGAAGTGGGGTTGTAGCTAAAACGTGGAAGTGGTGCATAGAGCCCATAATGTTTGGGTTTGAAGCTTTTCGAACGAGGAGAGTTTGGATTGGGCCAAAAGTGAAATATGTATAATAAAAGTTTGGGGTCTTTTTAACACGTTTAACCCTCACTTTTATTTGGATATATATTTATTTTTGTAGGAGGCTATTCTTAAGGTTGACAAAACACAATGGAATAATAAACACAGTACAGTAAACAAAGAAGAAGCCTGTCTCACATTTTCAGGAAGAAAATATTCTGCATCCCCATTAGTACCAACGAAAGGTACAAACTTAATAACACACACGTAACAACTACCGTAACTTCAAAGTCTTTGGTTCTGAGATTCAGTTTCTTTCTCTGATTGAAGCCAAAGCGCTGTGATCTTATAATAAAGATGAAGAGATTCTGTATTGGTCCCACAGTGGGGAAGTTTCAGTGTTGCAACTAAAATAAAATACAATACAATCTCTAGCTTTAGCATGATAAAGAAGCTAGTATAAAATCTCTAGCTTTAGCATAATAAAGAAGCTAGTGTAGCACTCATGTTGCTAATGCAATAGCTAATAGCAATAAATACTAACGATAGTAATTCAACAAGTTCAGTAGTTAGGCTAGTTCAACTCAGAAAGATTAGATAAGACTCAGGGAGAGAAGAGGCAAAGACTGGGTTTGTAGTTGCATATTAAAAAGGAACCATGTATTGTACACAATTAGACAATATTGACAATAGAATTAGAATGGCCATTCACACATACTCAAATCCCAAATACACTCAATACACAGAAGGCAATATATATATATATATATATTATATATATAGGTCATAGGTCATAGGTTTAGAGTTCAATATTTACACGTGACCCGTGGGCCACTTGCACAACGCAATTGAAACTGCACGCGCTCAAAAGAGCGAAATCCACACGACCCGTGAATTAGGTGAGGAGTGAAAAGGAGGCAGTAGTTGGGGTCGTGGATAAAGTGCAAGGTGCGAGAGATTGTATGGTTGGCTGCAAGAGCCTCCTACCAGCTCCTACCAGCCCTATTGAGGTAGGTGGGTTCAGGTTTCCAAGCAGGTCCAGGACTAGTTCCAGTTCTGGCCTGTATAACAGAACAGGACCATTCATTATCTCCATTTAGTAAATGCTAACCATAATACTAAATACTTCAAAATTACATTCATACACTTTAGAAAATATAAATCAGTAATTTGCCATTAATCCATGTGTACACAAAGTCAATACATATTCAATAGGATGCACATCGCTTCATAATTAAAAGTGCAATAGGATGCTACTATATCACAATAACTATTCTACAAAAAACACAATGAAAAATGCCTAACTATTTGTACATAATCATTTAAGTGAAAGTGCATAGTGCTGCATATTTCATATGCAGGTAAATAAAACGCCATAAAGTGCATGTAGATACATGTAAAAAGTCATGATTCAACAATAATCATTGTCAATTAGTTTGGATCATTAAATACAAAACACAAAGAAAGTTGGCATAAACAGCAATGCTTAACCGAACCCATTAAAAACATAGCGTCTAGCTAATGCTAAGCTAGACGCTGAATGAATGAGAGCTCATGAGAGCGCTTACCGATTCTCCCGATTCTGAGCGATCAAACGCTCTATCAAGTGCGCTAGGGCGATGGTAGCTCCTGCAGCAATACATATAATAAGCCTTGGATGTTATGGTGAAGTAAATAGGCAGAAACCGTACCTGCAGCAACCCAATACACGGCTCCTCTCACACAACCAGTACTTCCTGGTTAGGGAAAATATAACCGGCTGATTGGCCAGCTCCGGTCACGAGACGCGCACGCAGGGGGGAACGCAAAGATCAGTATTGTAAAACGAGGTATCACTCTTACAGGGTTTTTCACCCATGTTACACTAGAATAACATCTCTAGCTTTAGCATAATAAAGAAGCTAGTATAAAATCTCTAGCTTTAGCATAACAAAGAAGCTAGTATAAAATCTCTAGCTTTAGCATAATAAAGAAGCTAGTATAACATCTAGCGTTAGCATCATAAGAAGTACATAGTTGTATGTTTACATCTGTACGTGTGAGCAGCGTGAGGCTCTGGGCACATTCTGACATCAGTTCAGATTCTTGCACAGATGTGAGGTCAGGTCGGCAGCGTTAGTCAGTCAGTGTTCGTCGTACAGTCTGACAGCAGCAGAGAGGACGCCAGATAAGACAAAGCCACAAACAAACAAAGAGTTGTTCTGCTCGGCGTCTCTCTGTGTGCTTAGGTATTCTCTCCTAATCCAGGAATGCAGAGGTTTGAGGTCAGACGTTTCTCAGTGTCTCCACTCGGACTCCCGCTGCTCTCGTTTCTCCAGATTCCAAAACAATTAGGATTCGTGTTTGAAAAAGTAAAAGGTAGAAGGTGGGTTCCTACTGTGAGCCTTGCTCGCTCCAGTTTCTCAGCTTCTCATTTGGATCACACTTTGTCGTTCAATTCAATTCATTTTAGTTTTTTTCCGTCTGAGATCATAATTGCTAGAATCGAGTTTTTTTCAACTTGACTAAAGCCTGGTTCACACGGCAGGATATTTAGGCCGATTTAGACCCGATTTACCCCTTACGACAATCTTAAGAAACGCTCCGATTTCCGTAACAAAATCTTACAGATTATCCTGCCGTGTGTGGTGTGTTAAGACTGCACTCGTCGCTCGGAAGGACATCGGGACTGCTCCCGATCTCAAATCGGGGATATCCAACATGTTGGATTGTTTTGGCCCGATTTCTCTTCGTGTGTGGTGTCCCCCGAGGACAGACGTGCGCGTTGCCATGACTGCGGCGTGTAGCCAATCAGAAGACGAGGCGGTGAGGAAACGCCTCCATATCACGATGTAGCAAGTATAGTCCATGCTCGTGTTGTCTACACTTCTTTGACCATCGCCTTTTCTTTTGATAAAAACAAACTGTCGCCAATGCATCCTCTTTGTCCGCCATGTGTGTTTACTCTGAAGTCACGCTTGATCTCGCGAGACCTGAGATTTCCGTCTGATCTGTGAATACTCGGGGGGGGGGGGGGGGGGGGTCTTAAAATGCGATTTGCCAATGAGACAAGCAATTTTGACTTGATTCAAGAACTATTGCTTTATTTTCTCATTCCAAGAGAAAAATATCTTGTATCTTTTTAAAACAAGACAATGTTTCTTGTTCCACTGGCAAATCTTGTTTTAAGGCAGTCAAAATGTGCTCATATTTAGATACATTTAGCCAAATTTGAACATTTTTTTGTCTTTAATTCTGTCATCTTTTGCAGTGCAACAGCAGATCAGAGAATCATACAGTCTGCATAATTACAGCCATTTATCGACACTTCCAGACATTGCTCTCTGCCCCTTATGGACCAATGTGTTTGATTCTCTGGTCTGCTGCTGGCGAATCGACAGCTTTGTAAAGTCCGCTGAGACTGTTGTGATTTAGGGTAATAAAAGAATGTCCATAGATGTCCCCAATTGTCCCGGATCATCGCTGCCCTTAGCCCCTCCTGCATCACCGAGGAACCACTGAAAAAACCCAAAACTATTTCAGTGGTTGTTTACAGTGACCGAGGAACCTTGTATCGGAATATTCACAAATCTGTATGAACCTTAGAAGTAGGAGCCCTCTCTCCACTTTTTGAACAATACAATACAATTTATTCTTGTATAGCCCTAAATCACAACAGTACCATCTCAGAGAATCAACAGTTTAGACACAGAAACGGAAGAACACATGGTTTTGGTTCATAAGGAGAGACCAATGTCCGCAAATGTAGATAAATGTCATACATGTAGAATTTTAGAGTGTCCTGGATCATCCCAGTCCTTCTTGTGATTAAAACTCTCTGCTCTTATTGGACGAGCACGTATCACCAGAATGATTGACAGTTGGGAGAACCAATCGTCTTCATGATCGACCTGGAAGTAGAAAATCCTCCTGTAAACCTTTAACATTTGAATCTCTAATCCTTTGTGTCCTTGAGCGATATCAGCAGAAGCACCATTCTCTGACATTTTTACCACTGGTCATTAAACCTGGGTCTGGCCTCATTCCCACTGGAGATTGGCCCAGAACGGACTGAGATGGGTTTGGAGAAGTGAGGGGTTTTTAGTGTGCCCCGGGGTTAAACACATTCAGTTCAATTCAGTATATTCTCCAAACATCAACACAGATCTGAGAAACAGTTCCCACTAAACAGAACAGAACCAAGTATAAATCTCTAACTTATCAGCAGTAAATGTGAGAGAATTTGCTCAAGAAGTGGTGAAACTTTTTTTAGTATGGCAGCGAAAAAAATATCTGACTTGGGGAAAAAAATATGGTAAAGAACTAAAAATTCGGTACAATAACAACAACAAACAATAGTACGCCTCAAATATAAATATCAGCTCCATTCAATTCAATGTATTTTTGTACAGCCCTAAATCACAACAGTATTGATCTCAGAGGACTTTACAACATTGCCGATCTGCTCACAACAGATCAGAGAATCAAACCGTTCAAATGTCAAAACACATAGAGCCATTGGTCCATAAATCTGGATGGGTTAGGGTTAGTAAAGATTTCGGCTTTGTGTGTGTGTGTGTGTGTTTGGTAATCGCTGTTGTGTTGTGTCTAGACGTTTTGCAACACCTTGAAAGTCTGAGTCTCGCCTCATAAACAAACTTCAGAAATAAGGCGGTAAACATAAAATCAGAGTTGACCGTCCTGCAGAGCGGCCGCTGCCCCCTGACACTGTTTACGTCTGAGCCACATCCAGCTCCAGCCAAACACAGAAGGGTCAAAAATAAGACGCCAGAACCACTGCCTCCACTGACAGCTTCACAGACGGATAGAAGAAGAAAAGAAGCCTTAAAGGATCGATATGAGAGATTTTCATGTCAAGTCATCATTAAAGGGCCCTAATCTGTCGTCATTAAAGGGCCCTAATCTGTCATCATTAAAGGGCCCTAATCTGTCATCATTAAAGGGCCCTAATCTGTCATCATTAAAGGGCCCTAATCTGTCATCATTAAAGGGCCCTAATCTGTTGTCATTAAAGGGCCCTAATCTCTCATCAGTAAAGGGCCCTAATCAGTCATTATTAAAGGGCCCTAATCTGTCATCATTAAAGGGCCCTAATCTTTCATCATCATAGGCCTTACTCTGTCATTATTAAAGGGCCCTAATCTGTCGTCATTAAAGGGCCCTAAACTCTCATCATTAAAGGGCCCTAATCTGTCATCAGTAAATGGCCCTATTCTGTCATCATTAAAGGGCCCTAATCTGTCATCATTAAAGAGCCCTAATCTGTCATCATTAAAGGGCCCTAATCTGTTATCATTAAAGGGCCCTAATCTGTCATCATTAAAGGGCCCTAATCTGTCATCATTAAAGGGCCCTAATCAGTCATCATTAAAGGGCCCTAATCAGTCATCATTAAAGGGACCTAATCTGTCATTAAAGGGCCCTAAACTCTCATCATTAAAGGGCCCTAATCTGTCGTCATTAAAGGGCCCTAAACTCTCATCATTAAAGGGCCCTAATCTGTCATCATTAAAGAGCCCTAATCTGTCATCCTTAAAGGGCCCTAATCTGTCGTCATTAAAGGGCCCTAATCTGTCATCATTAAAGGGCCCTAATCTGTCATAATTAAAGGGACCTAATCTGTCATCATTTAAGGGCCCTTATATCTGACATTAAAGGGCCTGGAGCTAAACAATGGATTTGAAAATGTTGTGCAAATCGAACTTTGTATGTGCAAATGGAAGGCATTTATGTTGTACAACAGCGCCCCCTACAATTTAATTGTTTTAGTGTTATACCAAAGAAAACCATAATCATACACTTTATGCCTGAAAAAAACTTGTGGCAAAGTTTGGTGAGTTTTTGTGTTTGTTCAGTGGGTCAAATATGAGATCAAACAACATAAAACCTAAATACCTGTATCCCCATGTCAGAATCATTTTTTTTTTCAGAATCATTTTTATTGCCACGTAAGTAACAGGAGGTCACAGACTAGGAAATTGCTTTGGCTCAGTGCAACAGTCAAAAAGAGATAATAAAAATAAGAATAAAAAACACTTCTAAAGAATAAATTTAAATTTAAAATAGAGTTACAGTTACTATTTACAATATCCAAGTGCACATGGTGCACACAATGTAAGGTGACAGCAGTACAGTGAAGTAAAGTGACGTATGCTGGATAGTAAAGTGACTTTATAAAGGGCGGGGGGACAGGTTAAGAAGTGTTCAAGAGTCCAACAGCAGAGGGGAAGAAACTGTTCTTGTGGCGGGAGGTTCTAGTCCTGATGGACCGCAGCCTCCTGCCTGAGGGGAGTGGTTGGAATAGTCCATGTGCAGGTGAGAGGGGAGTGGTTGGAATAGTCCATGTGCAGGTGAGAGGGGAGTGGTTGGAATAGTCCATGTGCAGGTGAGAGGGGTCGGCTGTGATACGACCAGCCCGGCCTCGAGCTCGGGCGACGTACAGGTCTTGCAGCGATGGAAGGCTGCGGCCGATCACTTCCTCTGCAGAGCGCACAATGCACTGTAGTCTCTGTTTGTCCCTGACTGTGGCTCCAGCGAACCACACGGTGATGGAGGAGGTGAGGATGGACTCGATGATGGCCGTGTAGAACTGCACCAACATCTGTGCAGGCAGCTTGGCTTTCCTGAGCTGCCGCAGGAAGTACATCCTCTGCTGGGCCTTCTTGATGAGGGAGCTGATGGTCGGCTCCCACTTGAGGTCCTGGGTGATGGTGGTGCCCAGGAAACAGAAGGACTCCACAGAGGTGATGGGGGAGTCCATCACGGAGGGTGGGGGTGGGGGGACAGTGCTCTTCCTGAAGTCCACAATCATCTCCACTGTCTTCTGGGCGTTCAGCTCCAGGTTGTTACCACTGCACCAGGACACCAGCCGGTCCACCTCCCTCCTGTAGACGGACTCATCGTTGTTGGAGATGAGTCCGATGAGGGTGGTGTCGTCCGCGAACTTGATCAGCTTCACGGAGTCGTGGCTGGAGGTGCAGTGGTTGGTGTACAGGGAGAAGAGCAGGGGAGAAAGAACACAGCCCTGTGGGGCTCCTGTATTTATAATCCGAGAGTCCGAGACATTCTTCCCCAGACGCACTCGCTGCTTCCTGTCCGTCAGGAAGTCAGTGATCCACCTGCAGGTGGAATCGGGCACGTTGAGCTGGGAGAGCTTGTCCTGGAGCAGGGATGGCAGGATTGTGTTGAAGGCAGAGCTGAAGTCCACGAACAGGACCCTGGCGTAGGTCCCCGGGGAGTCCAGGTGCTGTAGGATGTGGTGGAGGGCCAGGTTAATGGCGTCGTCTACAGATCTGTTGGCTCTGTAGGCGAACTGCAGGGGGTCCAGGAGGGGGGAGGTGAGGGACTTGAGATGGGAGAGAACCAGGCGTTCAAATGACTTCATGACGACAGACGTAAGTGCTACAGGTCTGTAGTCATTGAGTCCTGTGATCCTGGGCTTCTTCGGGACGGGGACATGTAAACCTTTACTCAGCCTGTAGGGGGCGATAATGGGCCAATGTCATTGTTCACACAGTCATGTGACCTAGGCCCAGGAGTTGAACAATAGAGTCAAGTTTAGTGCAAATCAGAGTTTGTAAATGTGCTCCTGTTTGTACATACAATCTGTGAGTGTGTCCATACAGTCTCCATTGGATAACATTGGAACTTCACACCTCTCTATGAAAATAACCACATTTTGGGAGTTTGTCACGCTCAGACCGTTTGACGAATTCAAACTCTATATGCAACTATTGATGGTCAATGTGTTGAGACGATGTGGAGCGATTTTCAACCAAATTAATGAAACGGCCGCGGATGGTTTGATGTTTGAGCGAGGTGTACTTTTCAGATTTTTAACGATTTTCTCATAGACACAGACAGGGGAGTGTTGGTTGTCGCCACGGCAACAGGGTTAAAAAAAATCATATGTTGTGATTGACTTTTTGAATCCAGATGACAAAACAGAATTATGTGCAAAATTTCAAACATTTTGAAAAAACTAAAATTTATTAGGCCTATGTAAATCTTTGACATAGTCTGTAGGGGGCGCTAATGAGCCAATTTCAATATTTCCACTTTCAAATGACCTAGACCCTGGAGCTGAACAATGGTTTAAAATTTTGTGCAAATCTGACTTTTTTGTGCAAATGGGAGCAAATTTACTTTTGTCAAAAATTGAGAAGAAAATGTCACATTTTGCCGCTCCGCTGCTCGGAGAAAGTTTAACTGATCCAAATTCTATATTCAATAATTGATGGTACATGTGTTTAGACCATGTGGAGCGATTTTGAGACAAATCGGTGAAACGGCCGAGGAGGAGATAATTTCCAGCCGACATGTGTGAAAAATATTAATTTTAATTTATCCATTTTCCATTTAAATTAATGAGCTCCCTGTTTGTCAGGGGGCGGAGCCATAATAACTTTTTTTTCATGTCTTGACCTGAGGAACATGTGTACCGAATTTCGTGGCTCTACGACAAACTTGACCTCCGACCCCCTCCCCTAACTTTTGTAGGGGGCGCTGTTCTGGTATTTTTTTAGTCCCATAAAAATAAACACCAAAAAAAATAATTTTTCACCGGTTCTGAATTTTGGGCAAAATTTCACAACTTTTCATCAATGTTCAGGGGGTCAAATTAAGGTTCAAAGCGCAGAAGAAAAAAGAAATAAATAAATAAATAAATAAATAAGGAATTTTTTTTTTAAATCTTTGAGCAAAAACAATATGGGTGTTTCTATGGTAACTCTGGTCACTTCTCGGGTGGAAAACCAAGCTGATTCGGCTCTGAACCAGTCCAGGACCAGTTCAGGACCAGGACCAGTCCAGGACCAGCCATAAAATGTTTGTTACTAAGTGAATGAAAATGGATTTTGGTTTTGTTCCTCCGACTGTCAGACTGTACAACAGGTCTGTCTGAGTCAAACATGAGCTCTATTGTTAGTTAGAAACAATCAGAACGTTTGGACGAATGTGTTTCTGTCGCATTTCTCCCAAAGGAGATAATAAAGGATCTATCTTTGTCCAAAACTAAAAGTCATTTTAAATTGACTGCTCAGTGTTAAACCTTCACGTTTCCTTTTCCAGAACGTGTCCAGTCGAGCCTTGGGGAGGATCGTCGTGGACACTTTAGATCTGTGCTGCAGGAGCGGGGACGGTAAAAACATCTCTCTTTTATTATGATTCTATGTTTACTTCCTGATAACGTTCTGTGTCTCTGCCTCAGGACCGCCTCAGGTTCTGCACGTGGCCGAGGCGCTGTGTGTGCGGCTCTCCACCTCTGAGCTCTTCACAGACAGAGAAGGAGACTCAGAGACGGAGAAGTGGCTCCCCCTAGTGGCCCGTCAGAGCAACAGCACCAGCTCTCTTCTCATCTCATGTTAACGTTAGAACTCCCAGAGCAGTCAGTGTGACGGCTTTTAGTTTTTTCATGTAAATGTTGTGTCATGAAATTATATTTTATTTTGGAAATGTCCGAGTTGTACCTTTAACTAAAACTCAAATGTACCCATTTTTGGTTGGTAACTAAGTTTCTGCGGCAGTTAAGATCCCTTTTTAGCTGGTTCTGGACTGGATCTGAGCCGAGTCAGGTCGGTTTTCCACCAAAAGTGATTGTAGTTACTGTAGCAACATACTTTGTAGTTTTTAACATTTCAACAAACTATTTGCAGCATGGGATGAGAATCAGCACCTCCAAATCTGAGGCCATGGTGCTCGCCCGGAAAAAGGTGCCTTGCCCTCTCCAGGTGGGTGGAGAGGTCCTTCCTCAAGTGGAGGAGTTCAAGTATCTCTGGGTCTTGTTCACGAGTGAGGGAAGAATGGAGCGTGAGATTGACAGGCGGATCGGTGCAGCGTGCGCAGTGATGCGGTCGCTGCATCGGACCGTTGTGGTAAAGAGGGAGCAGCGTCTGCAGTCAGAGCTGTATCGGACCGTTGTGGTGAAGAGGGAGCAGCGTCTGCAGTCAGAGCTGTATCGGACCGTTGTGGTGAAGAGGGAGCAGCGTCTGCAGTCAGAGCTGTATCGGACCGTTGTGGTAAAGAGGGAGCAGCGTCTGCAGTCAGAGCTGTATCGGACCGTTGTGGTAAAGAGGGAGCAGCGTCTGCAGTCAGAGCTGTATCGGACCGTTGTGGTGAAGAGGGAGCAGCGTCTGCAGTCAGAGCTGTATCGGACCGTCGTGGTGAAGAGGGAGCAGCGTCTGCAGTCAGAGCTGTATCGGACCGTTGTGGTAAAGAGGGAGCAGCGTCTGCAGTCAGAGCTGTATCGGACCGTTGTGGTAAAGAGGGAGCAGCGTCTGCAGTCAGAGCTGTGTCGGACCGTTGTGGTGAAGAGGGAGCAGCGTCTGCAGTCAGAGCTGTGTCGGACCGTTGTGGTGAAGAGGGAGCAGCGTCTGCAGTCAGAGCTGTATCGGACCGTTGTGGTGAAGAGGGAGCAGCGTCTGCAGTCAGAGCTGTATCGGACCGTTGTGGTGAAGAGGGAGCAGCGTCTGCAGTCAGAGCTGTATCGGACCGTTGTGGTAAAGAGGGAGCAGCGTCTGCAGTCAGAGCTGTATCGGACCGTTGTGGTGAAGAGGGAGCAGCGTCTGCAGTCAGAGCTGTATCGGACCGTTGTGGTAAAGAGGGAGCAGCGTCTGCAGTCAGAGCTGTATCGGACCGTTGTGGTAAAGAGGGAGCAGCGTCTGCAGTCAGAGCTGTATCGGACCGTTGTGGTAAAGAGGGAGCAGCGTCTGCAGTCAGAGCTGTATCGGACCGTTGTGGTAAAGAGGGAGCAGCGTCTGCAGTCAGAGCTGTATCGGACCGTTGTGGTAAAGAGGGAGCAGCGTCTGCAGTCAGAGCTGTATCGGACCGTTGTGGTAAAGAGGGAGCAGCGTCTGCAGTCAGAGCTGTATCGGACCGTTGTGGTAAAGAGGGAGCAGCGTCTGCAGTCAGAGCTGTATCGGACCGTCGTGGTGAAAGAGGGAGCAGCGTCTGCAGTCAGAGCTGTATCGGACCGTTGTGGTAAAGAGGGAGCAGCGTCTGCAGTCAGAGCTGTATCGGACCGTTGTGGTAAAGAGGGAGCTGAGCCGAAAGGCAAAGCTCTCGATTTACCGGTCAATCTTCGTTCCCTCCCTCACCTATGGTCATGAGCTTTGGGTAATGACCGAAAGAACGAGATCGCGGATACAAGCGGTCGAAATGAGCTTCCTCCGCAGAGGCGCTGCTCCCTTAGAGATAGGGTGAGGAGCTCAGTCACACGGGAGGAGCTCGGAGTAGAGCCGCTGCTCCCTTAGAGATAGGGTGAGGAGCTCAGTCACACGGGAGGAGCTCGGAGTAGAGCCGCTGATTCTCCACGTTGAGAGGAACCAGTTGAGGTGGCTCGGGCATCTGTTCCGGATGCCTCCTGGACGCCTCCCTGGGGAGGTGTTCCGGGCACGTCCCACCGGGAGGAGACCCCGGGGAAGACCCAGGACACGTTTGAGAGACTATGTCTCTCAGCTGGCCTGGGAACGCCTTGGGGTCCCCCCGGACGAGCTGGAGGAAGTGTGTGAGAGGGAAGTCTGGCCGTCTCTTCTTAGACTGCTGCCCCCGCGACCCGGCAACGGATGAAGCGGAAGAAAATGGATGGATATTTTTGCTGCACTTCAAGTAATATTTATCAATTTTTTTGCAAACTGAAAGAAAACCACTTTTTTTTTTGATCTGGTGCAAAACTAAAGACGTTTCTCTTTATTCTATTGGTTTGAATGAGAGCAGTCAAAATGACGGCTCTGGGAGCTCTAGAAGTTTCATAATTCTGGGAGTCCTGATAACATTAGCACTTCAAAGTCTGGTGAGCAACCCACCAAAATCGATAAATCTGGAAAATGCGCAGTCTCTGTCTCGTTGTCCTGATTGGTCGATGGACCGAGGGAGAGCCGGGACCTCGACCAATCAGAGCCTCTTCCACAGCACAGGATCACAGAAGGCGATAATTAGACTATAGCCTTTATTTTAGACTATATTTGGCATTGTTTGTGTGTGCGTGGTTATGTGTGGGTGTGCGTGTGGGTGTGTGTGTCTGTCTGTCTGTGTGTGTGTGTCTGTCTATCTGTCTGTGTGTGTCTGTGTGTCTGTCTGTCTGTGTGTGTGTGCCTGTCTATCTGTCTGTGTGTGTCTGTCTATCTGTCTGTGTGTGTCTGTGTGTCTGTCTGTCTGTCTGTGTGTGTGTGTCTGTCTGTGTGTGTGTGTGTGTCTGTGTGTCTGTCTGTGTGTGTCTGTCTATCTGTCTGTGTGTGTCTGTGTGTCTGTCTGTCTGTGTGTGTGTGCCTGTCTATCTGTCTGTGTGTGTCTGTCTATCTGTCTGTGTGTGTCTGTGTGTCTGTCTGTCTGTGTGTGTGTGCCTGTCTATCTGTCTGTGTGTGTCTGTCTATCTGTCTGTGTGTGTCTGTGTGTCTGTCTGTCTGTGTGTGTGTGTCTGTCTGTGTGTGTGTGTGTGTCTGTGTGTCTGTCTGTCTGTGTGTGCTGCCACTCACTCCCCACAGCACCAGTCCCTCGCTGATTCTCCGGCAGGTGGTCAGACATAACCTTTATGTTTCAGGCAAAGTTGGGTTAAGTGTCTTTCCCAGACATCAGTGGGAGCAGGTCTCGTCGTGGGATCGAACCCACAACCTTCAGGCCCAAAAGCCAATATCTACAAACCTTCTTATAAAAGGAGGATTTTCCCAAATTTTAGGAAAGAACGTAAATGATTGACACTTAGGACCAATATTTTACATGATCCACCCGGAAGACCCGTTAAGACCACCGAGAAGATCCTTTAAGACCCTTTGAGACCCTTTAAGACCCTTTGAGACCCTTTGAGACCCTTTAAGATCATTTGAGACCCTTTAAGACCCTTTAAGACCCTTTGAGACCCTTTGAGACCCTTTAAGACCCTTTGAGACCCTTTGAGACCCTTTGAGACCCTTTAAGACCCTTTGAGACCCTTTAAGACCCTTTAAGACCCTTTAAGATCCTTTGAGACCCTTTAAGACCCTTTGAGACCCTTTGAGACCCTTTAAGACCCTATTTGAGGTATTTTTCTTCTACTTTTAACCATCTGTGGCAGGATCATTTTGTTAAGTTTTAAGACACACAGTAAGTTTTATGTGTTTGGCATCAAAGTCTTTTCAACAGAATTTACTTTGATGGAAATGAACAAATACAACTGGTTTCTTACGTCTAGTTTTAGTTGATATTCATAAAACAAACATATAGAACATTAATGCAATCTTACAAGTTTTCTGCACAACTTTCCATTTTATGAAATCACCGCAGAAATGTACAAATGTTTGTGTTTGAGGATCATCTGTTCCTTGACGTCCATGTTTTAAACCATTTTATACATAACTGTACAGATCTCTCCGCTTTGTGTATTTATTAAAATGTGTTTATTTGAGAACTTCCATTGTTTAGCATTCGTTTTTTTGGTGAAAGTCAGAGACGCATGTTTTGGTAATGTACAAGTGAAAAATAAGTCAAAAATTGCTAAAATATGTCTTAATTTCAGCACTTTATGACTGTGCCTTAAAACAAAATTCATCAATGGGACAGGGCCAAATGATCATGTTTTAAATTGATACAAAAATGTCTCATTGGAATGAGAAAATAAAGCAACAATTTGTTAAATAAGTTTGTCCAAACCCAGAGGATCCACTGCAGGAAGCAGAGAAAATGATCCGAACCAAGCGGCTACTCCACCTTGTGACCCGTCCTGCTCCACCCAGAGGCTACTCCACCTTGTGACCCGTCCTGCTCCACCCAGAGGCTACTCCACCTCTGCTGTTGTGACCCGTCCTGCTCCACCCAGAGGCTACTCCACCTCTGCTGCTGTGACCCGTCCTGCTCCACCCAGAGGCTACTCCACCCCTGCAGCTGTGACCCGTCCTGCTCCACCCAGAGGCTACTCCACCTCTGCTGCTGTGACCCGTCCTGCTCCACCCAGAGGCTACTCCACCCCTGCAGCTGTGACCCGTCCTGCTCCACCCAGAGGCTACTCCACCCCTGCAGCTGTGACCCGTCCTGCTCCACCCAGAGGCTACTCCACCTCTGCTGCTCTGACCCGTCCTGCTCCACCCAGAGGCTACTCCACCTCTGCTGCTGTGACCTGTCCTGCTCCACCCAGAGGCTACTCCACCTCTGCTGCTCTGACCCGTCCTGCTCCACCCAGAGGCTACTCCACCTCTGCTGCTGTGACCCGTCCTGCTCCACCCAGAGGCTACTCCACCTCTGCTGCTCTGACCCGTCCTGCTCCACCCAGAGGCTACTCCACCTCTGCTGCTCTGACCCGTCCTGCTCCACCCAGAGGCTACTCCACCTCTGCTGCTGTGACCCGTCCTGCTCCACCCAGAGGCTACTCCACCTCTGCTGCTGTGACCCGTCCTGCTCCACCCAGAGACTACTCCACCTCTGCTGCTGTGACCCGTCCTGCTCCACCCAGAGGCTGCTCCACCTCTGCAGCTGTGACCTGAAGGGCTGCTGCTGATTATTACTACTGTTAGCTTTTGAGAATGATCATTTTTATTTTCTATTTTTACTGCTACTGGACACCTGCATTTCTCCAACGGGGATCAATAAAGTATATATCTATCTATCTGGCTTTGTCCCCTGGACTGCCACCTTAACGTGGTGGGGGAGTTTGAGTACTCGGATGATCCTGGGAGCTATGTTGCCTGGGAGCTTTATTACCCTGGTAGGGTCTCCCATGGCAGACAGGTCTCAGCTGACGGGTCAGATGAAGCGCAGTCCAAAAACCACCATAGATTGCACTATATGAATACCGGTGACGTCGTCCGGCATGGCGCACGACCCTGGAGCCAGGCCTGGGGTTGGGGCTCGAAAGCGAGCGCCTGGTGGCCGGGCTCAGCCCGAAGGGATGACATGGGCAGGCCCTCTTCCTCTTCCCTCTATGCGGATACCACCCACAGAGGGATCTGTGTCGGTCAGGTGCTGAGGGTGTCGCCGAGGTCTCCGCCTTCGGCTGCCGCCCAGTCCTCACACACATCTGGCTCTTGGGTCGTGGAACGTCACCTCACTGGGGGGGAAGGAGCCCGAGCTCGTGGGGGAGGTTGAGAGATACCGCATGAGATAGTCGGCCTCACCTCCACACACAGCTTGGGCTCTGGAAGCCAACTCCTTGAGAGGGGTTGGACGCTCCACTTCTCTGGTGTTTCTCGTGCGGAGAGGCGGCGAGCTGGGGTGGCCATACTCATTGCCCCCCGTCTCTGCTTAGACTGCTGCCCCCGCGACCCGGCAACAGATGAAGCGGAAGAAAATGAATGGATGGAGGGCTTTGTCCCATTGGAGAATCTTGTTTTTACCATAGACTGTACATATTAACGGACATAGTCACGCCTATCTCCGCCGTTCTATCTAAAAACTAAAACACATCTGCGCATGCGTCAGCTGCACGAGCTCCATTCATTTAAACGAGAGACTTCTAAAGTCCACAGCGACTAAACTAGACTGGTCCAGAACACTCCCTTCAGCATTGACACACATGTGGAACGGAGCTTTGGGCTAAGAACCGACTTTTGGACCAGCCTGTAACGACGTTTTCGAGAGGTCAGCTAATGCTATATGTTAGCATTGGCTAATTCTTATTCCGGGTCCACCCCCACAGGCCCGGGGTGGTATTGCAGCATGTCAGCGCACGTCATTTTGGCCACTTTTGAGTCGGGACCCGCCCCCACTGTGTCAGATTAAGATAAAAACACTTGATTCAAGCAAATAGTACCTCATATTTTATCTGTTTTTGCAGTGTAGCTGACAAAGGCAAATATCAATCATTTAATTTGAGGCATCTATTTCCTGTACCTAACACAGATACATTTGTCAACAGCAATATAAAATAATAGTTAAAAAAAAAGACGAAGGTGTTATACTGAAACAATAAAAAGCTTTATTTCCAGCAGTTTTCGGAGTCCTGCAGAAAGATCATTTGCAGTTGCAACAGGAGGCCACATGGTCATTGACATCAGTGAGTGAGCAGCAGGAAGCCTCATCAGTCTCAGCTCTGGGTCATCAGGCAGAAGTGCTATAACCTTTAAATTGCCCCAAAGTCTCTGCTCCGACAGAAACAAGCCCTTTTCTTACAGCTGTTTGATCGAGTCATTTACAACATTCAACATTACATCAGAATCAAAGGTCACCGATTAGTGGTCAGTGCTACGCTAACGCTGCGAGAGCCGCTCCAGGCTCAGGTTAAGGCCAAAGTTTGGACAGTTTGGTGCTAGTCATTAGCTTTACGCTAATCTATTACAGCAACTTCAAAGCCACTGGCCTTTATCAAATATTACAGCTATCAAAGAAATGTGAACAGAAATCAAATTGTGACAAAGGAAATGTCAAAATAAACAATGCCATATATAGAATAAATATAGTATTTACAAATTGCTTTGTGTGCTTCTCAAAAATAAATAGACAATGCATGACTTGCCTCTTATTGAAGTATTAACAACTATGTATTGACAGAGGCGTAACGCTGGCACCGGTCAGAGACCACTGAGAGTCCAGAGACCACTGAGAGTCCAGAGACCACTGAGAGTCCACAGACCACTGAGAGTCCACAGACCACTGAGAGTCCAGAGACCACTGAGAGTCCACAGACCACTGAGAGTCCAGAGACCACTGAGAGTCCAGAGACCACTGAGAGTCCAGAGACCACTGAGAGTCCAGAGACCACTGAGAGTCCAGAGACCACTGAGAGTCCAGAGACCACTGAGAGTCCACAGACCACTGAGAGTCCACAGACCACTGAGAGTCCAGAGACCACTGAGAGTCCACAGACCACTGAGAGTCCAAGACCACTGAGAGTCCACAGACCACTGAGAGTCCAGAGACCACTGAGAGTCCAGAGACCACTGAGAGTCCAAGACCACTGAGAGTCCAGAGACCACTGAGAGTCCAGAGACCACTGAGAGTCCAGAGACCACTGAGAGTCCAGAGACCACTGAGAGTCCAGAGACCACTGAGAGTCCAGAGACCACTGAGAGTCCACTGAGAGTCCAGAGACCACTGAGAGTCCAGAGACCACTGAGAGTCCAGAGACCACTGAAGTCAGTGATCCAGAGACCACTGAGAGTCCAGAGACCACTGAGAGTCCAGAGACCACTGAGAGTCCAGAGACCACTGAGAGTCCACAGACCACTGAGAGTCCAGAGACCACTGAGAGTCCAGAGACATCTGTGTATTCTCTATATTAACTGTATTTAGATCTGACTGTTCAAACTGTTGATATCTGAGTCCAAACAGGAGAGGACTCGGCAGCGCCCTCTACTGTCCGCTTTAAATAGTACAGTACATTCTGTATCTCAGTTTGACCCCCCCTCCCCCATTATAATTAAAACACAATTAGAAAGATTAGGCAAAAAGGAAAGAATTAAGTAACGGAATAGAAAATCATTATTTGACACTATGTGATTTTAGGAAACATTTTCAAGTTTTGCACATTGCTCCTGCACATGCGTGTGCTGGCCCCGTGGAAACAGGAAGTATTTATAACCATGCATCACATGCAGAGTTCTCCTTTGGGCCTTGGGGCCGACACCTGTACTCGGTACAGTCTGGGGCTGAAACATTCTCTCACTGTCGTTAAGAAGTTTGTCTCTCTCTCCATCCATTCAACCAAACACATGGACCTTAGTATCACAGGTACACGGGACAATTGCATAGGGATAAAGAGGCTCCTGTGGTGTTTGAACGCAGTGGGAGTGGTTACCATGGAGACGCTGTCCTCAGCTGCTGCAAAACATGCTTCATCCACATGTTTATGTTTAATCAAGGATAAACTATAGTATTATTCTACTTTTAGATGTGTGTAGTGATCATGTGGAAGAGGAACAAAAGGACAGTTTGGTTTTACAGAAATGACAGAATTAGGAACATCTTCCAAATCTCATTAGGAAATCAAGAAGACTCTACCAACACGGCCTCGTCCCAACTGAACTCAACTCCATCAGAGCTGGATCTTAGGCATTCACTTAGAAATCGCGCTTTGTGATTAAGAATTCCAGGTCTATGTGTTATTATCGAAAGACTTGGACTATTGTCTCCATTGAAAAATAATGAAGATTTGCCCAAAAATATAATCAAGATCCTATTTGTACAAATAAAAGACACAAACCAGAAAGTCTGTGAGCTGGACCCAGAGAGCCTTCTCCAGTGATTAGTGCAGTCAAATGCCCTGAAATCTCTGCCCCCCCGAAGGAAGCCTCACAGACGCACACTCCCACCGCACCAGTCCAAGAATAGCCCTTTTCTGACGAGGTCCAAACACCGGCTTCTCTTCTCGCATCTCAGGTGTTATTAGTGCGATCCGTGCATCAGTTCCCAACGTTGCTATCCTTGTCTCCGAGGAAGAAGCGCACGTGGAAGCAAAGCGCCAAGAAGCCGGTCCCCAGGAGGTCCCCCAGAGCCGTGAGGTACGGAATGGAGAAGTTGTCGGGGTCCATCCCACGGCCCCACATCCAGTGCACCATCCAGTCGGCCAGGTACAGCAGGATGATCACCTGCAACACACCATATTTAATCATTTACTTTTTATATTTCAATTCAATGCAGTTCAATTTATTCTTGTACAGCCTTAAATCACAACAGTAGTTATCTCAGAGGACTTAAAGCAGCAGTATGTCAAAATCTGGCCAAAAGTGGTACTGCAGCCTTGCCCTCTCTTTGTGAATTTAGACATTCAAATATCTCTGAACTACAGTTATCAGTAAGAGAAGTATTGGAAAGGGCAGGTTTTATTATGATGATGGGAGGTGGGCTCACGGGTAGAGGAGTGTGTCACATGAGCTGAGATCACCTCCATGCACAAAAGGGCTATAATTTGACCAGTTTTGAGTGTTGTATGGTGTATCGCCCAAATTATTATCACACATGTGCATAGGATGGGCACCTTTAATGATGACTGGACATGAAAACCCTACATGTCGCTACTTTAACAACATTTTTGGAATTGCCAACACTGACCAAAGAATAAAACAGTTCAAACTCAAAGAATATAGAACACATGGTATTGGTCCATATGTGTTGATAAATGTCATAAATGTTGTATGTGTCCTGGATCATCACAGTCCTTGTTAGACACTAAACAGGCTTTCAGACCGGATCATGAGTCACATCGACTTTCAATGCAAAGTCAATGGTGACGCGTGTTCGAGCGTCGAAACTCATGTGCGTCTCGGAATGCACACACGGACTGTTCTGTAGAGACGCACGGACTGCTCTGTAGAGACGCACGGACTGCTCTGTAGAGACGCACGGACTGCTCAGTAGAGACGCACGGACTGCTCTGTAGAGACGCACGGACTGCTCTGTAGAGACGAAACGGACTGCTCTGTAGAGACGCACGGACTGTTCTGTAGAGACGCACGGACTGTTCTGTAGAGACGCACGGACTGCTCTGTAGAGACGCACGGACTGCTCTGTAGAGACGCACGGACTGCTCAGTAGAGACGCACGGACTGTTCTGTAGAGACGCACGGACTGCTCTGTAGAGACGCACGGACTGCTCTGTAGAGACGCACGGACTGTTCTGTAGAGACGCACGGACTGCTCTGTAGAGACGCACAGACTGCTCTGTAGAGACGCACGGACTGCTCTGTAGAGACGCACGGACTGTTCAGTAGAGACGCACGGACTGTTCTGTAGAGACGCACGGACTGCTCTGTAGAGACGCACGGACTGTTCTGTAGAGACGCACGGACTGCTCTGTAGAGACGCACGGACTGTTCTGTAGAGACGCACGGACTGTTCTGTAGAGACGCACGGACTGTTCAGTAGAGACGCACGGACTGTTCTGTAGAGACGCACGGACTGTTCTGTAGAGACGCACGGACTGTTCTGTAGAGACGCACGGACTGTTCTGTAGAGACGCACGGACTGTTCTGTAGAGACGCACGGACTGCTCTGTAGAGACGCACGGACTGCTCTGTAGAGACGCACGGACTGTTCTGTAGAGACGCGGACTGTTCTGTAGAGACGCACGGACTGTTCTGTAGAGACGCACGGACTGCTCTGTAGAGACACACGGACTGTTCTGTAGAGACGCACGGACTGTTCTGTAGAGACGCACGGACTGTTCTGTAGAGACGCACGGACTGCTCAGTAGAGACGCACGGACTGCTCTGTAGAGACGCACGGACTGTTCTGTAGAGACGCACGGACTGCTCTGTAGAGACGCACGGACTGTTCAGTAGAGACGCACGGACTGTTCTGTAGAGACGCACAGACTGCTCTGTAGAGACGCACGGACTGCTCTGTAGAGACGCACGGACTGCTCTGTAGAGACGCACGGACTGCTCTGTAGAGACGCACGGACTGCTCAGTAGAGACGCACGGACTGCTCTGTAGAGACGCACGGACTGCTCTGTAGAGACGCACGGACTGTTCTGTAGAGACGCACGGACTGTTCTGTAGAGACGACGACGCACGGACTGTTCTAGAGACGCACGGGACTAGAGACGCACGGACTGTTCTGTAGAGACGCACGGACTGTTCTGTAGAGACGCACGGACTGTTCTGTAGAGACGCACGGACTGTTCTGTAGAGACGCACGCACGGACTGCTGTAGAGACGCACGGACTGTTCAGTAGAGACGCACGGACTGTTCTGTAGAGACCGCACGGACTGCTCTGTAGAGACGCACGGACTGCTCTGTAGAGACGCACGGACTGTTCAGTAGAGACGCACGGACTGCTCAGTAGAGACGCACGGACTGCTCTGTAGAGACGCACGGACTGCTCAGTAGAGACGCACGGACTGCTCTGAGTAGAGACGCACGGACACTGACTGCTCTGTAGAGACGCACGGACTGCTCTGTAGAGACGCACGGACTGCTCGGTAGAGACGCACGGACTGCTCTGTAGAGACGCACGGACTGCTCTGTAGAGACGCACGGACTGCTCGGTAGAGACGCACGGACTGTTCAGTAGAGACGCACGGACTGCTCTGTAGAGACGCACGGACTGCTCAGTAGAGACGCACGGACTGTTCAGTAGAGACGCACGGACTGCTCTGTAGAGACGCACGGACTGCTCAGTAGAGACGCACGGACTGTTCAGTAGAGACGCACGGACTGTTCTGTAGAGACGCACGGACTGCTCTGTTCAGTAGAGACGCACGGACTGTTCAGTAGAGACGCACGGACTGTTCTGTGGAGACGCACGGACTGTTCTGTAGAGACGCACGGACTGCTCTGTAGAGACGCACGGACTGCTCTGTAGAGACGCACGGACTGCTCTGTAGAGACGCACGGACTGTTCTGTAGAGACGCACGGACTGTTCTGTAGAGACGCACGGACTGCTCTGTAGAGACGCACGGACTGTTCTGTAGAGACGCACAGACTGTGCAGGGAAGTCGAAGAGGAGGAGCAGGAGCTGAAAATCGATGTACGCAGGAGATAAACATTGCTCAACGTTCGTGCAGCGACCAATCAGAGAGCCGCAAAGTGGTCAAGGGGACATTAGCGGACTGAGCGAGCAGACTGAACATACTGTAAACAGCCAAAACAGGGTTGACAATGGGTGACTTTATGCAACTGCTTCGAGTGTGTTCGCCAATAGGGAAATACTGTTTAATAATATAATAAACTTATTGCGCACCTCCGTGAACACATACTGCTGTTATATAAAGTCTGAAGGTCTCAGACACAGGCACGCTGCAAAGCTGCATTATTGGAGAAGATATTTACACAAGAAGCCGCTAGCATAACTCTGTTAGCATCAGAGCCCGGCGCCTACTTCGGTCACTTCTGGCGCTGGTCAGGACGTTCTGGTCTGAAGACCCCTGCGTCTGAAAACTAGAGAATGTGCGTCTGGTGAACGAGGCTTCAGTGTTTCAGCGTTTGCGGTCTGAAAGCAGCATAGGACATGAACACACAAAGAGAGCTCACACTGTAACATGCTAAATGTTCAGGGAAATAGTAAAACTTGCAAATCATGACTGCCCCAGACTGAGCAGTCTGCCCAGACGCGCGCCTCCAGGTGTGTCACTGCGACTCTCCTGCTGCTGTGTCTCCCCCGCTCTCTCCCATCTCCCCTCGACTTTAGCGTAGGCTGGAGTCGAGGCGCTGTGCCCCGACGTGGCTTCCAGCCCTGTTCTCTGCAAATCTAACCTGTCTCCGAACTTCCCAATGACAGCTCTGACCCATGGAAACACTGTTTCCACTGACTTTATGTAAAGTGTCTAAAGTTAGTGTTTGATGCGGTATAACACTGTCACGCTCCTGCAGCCGCACTCGCTTCACCATGGTTTCTGCACTGGTTCAACCCGGTCTTGCGCGAATATTTTATATGGGAGCATGTCGTTTTTTGGGGCCAAGGAGGTAGTCTGACATGTCTGCCAACTAGTGGCAGGGAGTATGAATGAATTTTGACACTCAGTTGGTCACACTCGGCCGTTTTAAACAGTACCGCAGCTTGGCGACTTAAGTTGACCGTGGCGCCTAGAGGGTTAATCTGTCTCACATCCAATAAAATCAATATGAACATTCTACAGAAATTGTAGAATGCGTAATGTAGCCATATATTAAGTATCAACAGTTTTTTTTAAATAATTGAAAAATCGATAAAATCGATTTAAAACGATAAAATCGATTTAAATCGATACTTAGCAAAAGCATATCGATAATCGATCGCGTGAGAAAGTATCACGATACATCACCATATCGATATATTGTCACACTCCTAATACACATGAACACACACATGAACACATACACATGAACACACATGAACACACACACACATGAACACACGCATGAACACACACACACATGAACACATACACATGAACACATACACATGAACACACACACATGAACACACACACATGAACACACACATGAACACACATGAACACACACACAACCACAGAGAGATGGACCGTGATCCGTCTGTTCGTGAGGTTCTTTATAAATCAGTCCTGGGTCTACAGCCTCAGTCCTGGAGTCTTACCTCCACCTTGTAGATGTTGGAGGGGTGGTCTCTCTCTCCGCACATGGGGGTGGGGGTCTTACAGCAGCTGTCTGGGACCAGCCTGCCCTGGCCGGCCTGGGAGCGGATCCACTCGCTGGCCGCCCAGTCTGAGGAACTGTTGCTGCCGCAGCATTTGAACTGGAAAAGGAAAACAAGTAAAGTGACTGGAACTAAAAGATGCACTTCTCCCCAGGCCTGAGGAGGCGCTGTGAGACTGAGGACATGCCTGAGGAGGCGCTGTGAGACTGAGGACATGCCTGAGGAGGCGCTGTGAGACTGAGGACATGCCTGAGGAGGCGCTGTGAGACTGAGGACATGCCTGAGGAGGCGCTGTGACACTGAGGACATGCCTGAGGAGGCGCTGTGACACTGAGGACATGCCTGAGGAGGCGCTGTGACACTGAGGACATGCCTGAGGAGGCGCTGTGAGACTGAGGACATGCCTGAGGAGGCGCTGTGAGACTGAGGACATGCCTGAGGAGGCGCTGTGAGACTGAGGACATGCCTGAGGAGGCGCTGTGAGACTGAGGACATGCCTGAGGAGGCGCTGTGACACTGAGGACATGCCTGAGGAGGCGCTGTGACACTGAGGACATGCCTGAGGAGGCGCTGTGACACTGAGGACATGCCTGAGGAGGCGCTGTGACACTGAGGACATGCCTGAGGAGGCGCTGTGACACTGAGGACATGCCTGAGGAGGCGCTGTGACACTGAGGACATGCCTGAGGAGGCGCTGTGAGACTGAGGACATGCCTGAGGAGGCGCTGTGACACTGAGGACATGCCTGAGGAGGCGCTGTGAGACTGAGGACATGCCTGAGGAGACGCTGTGACACTGAGGACATGCCTGAGGAGGCGCTGTGAGACTGAGGACATGCCTGAGGAGGCGCTGTGACACTGAGGACATGCCTGAGGAGGCGCTGTGACACTGAGGACATGCCTGAGGAGGCGCTGTGACACTGAGGACATGCCTGAGGAGGCGCTGTGACACTGAGGACATGCCTGAGGAGGCGCTGTGACACTGAGGACATGCCTGAGGAGGCGCTGTGAGACTGAGGACATGCCTGAGGAGGCGCTGTGACACTGAGGACATGCCTGAGGAGGCGCTGTGAGACTGAGGACATGCCTGAGGAGGCGCTGTGACACTGAGGACATGCCTGAGGAGGCGCTGTGAGACTGAGGACATGCCTGAGGAGGCGCTGTGAGACTGAGGAACATGCCTGAGGAGACGCTGTGACACTGAGGACATGCCTGAGGAGGCGCTGTGAGACTGAGGACATGCCTGAGGAGGCGCTGGTAGACTGAGGACATGCCTGAGGAGGCGCTGTGAGACTGAGGACATGCCTGAGGAGACGCTGTGACACTGAGGACATGCCTGAGGAGGCGCTGTGAGACTGAGGACATGGCTGAGGAGGCGCTGTGAGACTGAGGACATGCCTGAGGAGGCGCTGTGACACTGAGGACATGCCTGAGGAGGCGCTGTGACACTGAGGACATGCCTGAGGAGGCGCTGTGACAGTGAGGACATGCCTGAGGAGGCGCTGTGAGACTGAGGACAGGTTTTAAACACAGCACAAATGGAGGATGTGGAAATTATTTTATATATTTTGACCTTTTCTACAAATAAAGAATAGAGATTAGATCTGGTGTGTGTGTGTGTGTGTCTGTGTGTATGCGTGTGTGTGTGTCTGTGTGTATGCGTGTGTCTGTGTGACTGCGTGTCTCTCTGTGACTGTGCGTGTCTGTGTGACTGTGCGTGTGTCTGTGTGTGCGTCTCTCTGTGTGACTGTGTGTGTGTTTCTGTGTGTGTGTCTTCTGACCTCCTGCTGCAGCTTGTCCACTGCTCTGGTCACGTGCTCCTGGTTGCTCTTCTGGTATTTCTGGATCATGGTGTCTCTCAGACTCAGCTTCAGCTCCTCGTTCAACTGAGACACAGACACACAACACTCATCACACACTTTGTCCTGAATAAAATGATTCTTCTTTAATATTTTGGTCCAATCCCAGAATGTGGTCTGAATAGGGTCCTTCATGGACTTTGTCTCTGCTCTTTACGGACCCATGTGTGTGTCACATGGATCTATAATAAGAACTGGAGAGGGTGTTACTAGCTTATAGCTCGGGGTTGGTAGAGCACTGGCCTTTGAGCCTGAAGGTCGAGCCCCATGACCTTCTCCCTCAGACACCCACTGATGCCTGCTGTCGTTGTTTCCTTGGGCAAGACACTTTGCCTTTAAAGGAGCGCAGAAGTAATGTACGCTGCATGCCTTGATGTGTACGTGTGTTTTATTTTTCCTCTTTCTGCTGCTGCACCCTGAGGCCCGACCACCTCTGCTGCTGCACCGAGGCCCGACCACCTCTGCTGCTGCACCGAGGCCCGACCACCTCTGCTGCTGCACCCTGAGGCCCGACCACCTCTGCTGCTGCACCCTGAGGCTGTTTCTTATAATTACCATTGTAGCTTTTCAGAATGATATATTTATTAGTTCTGTTTGGATGGATGTGTTTCTGCTGCTACTGGACACCTGCATTTCTCCTTCAGAGATCAATACAGTATCTGTCTAAATTCCCAGAGGTGGAGGTCTTACCTGTTGGTAGTAGATGTAAGCCAGGACTCCAGCCAGAACCTCCAGGAGGAAGATGCACAAGAGCAGGACAAAGTACTGCAGAGACAAAAGTAACTGTTACTATCTGTATCTGAGGACAGACCAGAGGGCGGTCCTGGTCCAGACAGGTCCAGACCAGTGGGGGAGGGTCCCAGCTCAAAAGTGGCCAAAATGACGTGCGCTGACATGCTTGCAATACCACCCCGGGCCGATGGGGGTGGACCCAGAAGTAGAATTAGCCAATGCTAACATATAGCATTGGCAGACCGCTCAAAAACGTCTTTACAGGATGGACCAAAAGTTGGCTCTTGGCCCAAAGCTCCGTTCCACATGTGTGTCAATGCTGAGGGGAGTGAATTTTTTTGGTCCACTCTAGTTTAGTTTCTGTGAATTTTTTAAGTCTCTCGTTCAAATGAATGAAGCTGCGCCGGCTGACGCATGCGCAGATGCGTGTTTTCACAATTTTCTTGTGGGCGGGACCACTCGCGGCCATTTTGGATTGCTCCAGTAGAGCACATTTTTGGCCCATTAGTTAGAACGGCGGAGATAGGCGTGACTCTGTCCGTTAATATATACAGTCTATGGTCCAGACAGGTCCAGGAGCACGTGCGCTGACATGTTCTAATCTCACTCCGGGCCTGTGGGGGTGTACCCGGAAACAGAATTACGAAATGCCTTTGTATGCTGCCTTTATTTTCAAAAACGGTTTAGAAAACGGCTCAACAGGATGCTCTAAACGTCCAAGAGAAATTTTTTGGTTTAGTCGCAGTGGAATTTTGAAGTCACTCTTTAAATGAACGGGGCTCGTGCAGCTGAATCATGCACAAATGTGTTTTTTCACATTCTTCAGCCCTCGCTGCCATTTTGAAAAGCCCCACAGAGGGTGAAAGTGATGTCACTAGGGGTGTAACGATACATTTTTAGAACGATACGATCCGTATCTTTATAAGAGCAAATGATTTTGATATAAAACGGTATCTTAATTTAGATTTTGAACGATATATAGATACAGTATTATTGGCTTTTTCTGTAAATAAACTTTTTACAGTAATTCAAACTGATGGGCTAGACACACGGGAGGCGACATCGCATCGCCTCCATTCATTTCAATGGGACGTGCGCGACATAGCGTCAATCGCTAGCGAGCCTCCTGCTCAGCGACGGGCGAAAAACGTGCGTGTGAAATCCTCCCGCTCGTGCATGTATCGTGCACGCGCAGGTCAGCGACGCGATCCCAGAAAGTTGAAATCGGCTCAACTTTTCGACGCTGTCGTCAAGCCGCATCGCGCCCCGTCTGTCATGTTATCTGAGCGACAGCGTTGAGTTTCGCTGATCGCTCTCATTTGTCGCCTCCCGTGTGTCTAGCCCATTAGAAATCTAACTAAAATTTAAAGTGCTGAACAAGAAATACCACTTTTTACAAATTTAACAAAAATGTATTTTGCCCAAGAGCTAACTTATAAATAACTCACATGAATAAAAATAATAAAACATATATACAGTGGGACAAAAAAGTATTTAGTCAGCCACCGATTGTGCAAGTTCTCCCACTTAAAATAAAGACAGAGGTCTGTAATGTTCATCATGAATGTGAAAACAAAAATCCAGGAATTCACATTGTAGGATTTTTAAATAATTTATTTGTAACTCACGGTGGAAAATAAGTATTTGGTCAATAACAAAAATACTTTGTAATATAACCTTTGTTGGAAATTACAGAGGTCAAACGATTACTATAGGTCTTTACCAGGTTTGCACACACAGTAGCTGGTATTTTGGCCCATTCCTCCATGCAGATCTTCTCGAGAGCAGTGAACACGGACTTTCAACTCCCTCCACAGATTTTCAATGGGGTTGAGGTCTGGAGACTGGCTAGGCCACTCCAGGACTTTCAAATGCTTCTTACGGAGCCACTCCTTCGTTGCCCGGGCGGTGTATTTGGGATCATTGTCATGCTGGAAGACCCAGCCACGTTTCATCTTCAAAGCTCTCACTGAAAAATCTCATAATACATGGCCCCATTCATTATTTCCTCAACACGGATCAGTCGTCCTGTCCCCTTAGCAGAAAAACAGCCCCAAAGCATGACGTTTCCACCCCCATGCTTTACAGTAGGTATGGTGTTCTTGGGATGCAGCTCAGTATTCTTCTTCCTCCAAACACGACGAGTTGAGTTTATACCAAACAGTTGTACTTTGGTTTCATCTGACCACATGACATTCTCCCAATCCTCTGCTGTATCATCCATGTGCTCTCTGGCAAACTTCAGACGGGCCTGGACATGCACTGGCTTCAGCAGGGGGACACGTCTGGCACTGCAGGATTTGATTCCCTGTCGTCATAGTGTGTTACTGATGGTAACCTTTGTTACTCTGGTCCCAGCTCTCTGCAGGTCATTCACCAGGTCCCCCCGTGTGGTTCTGGGATTTTTTTATCACCGTTTTCATGATCATTTTGACCCAACGGGATGAGATCTTACGTGGAGCCCCAGATCGAGGGAGATTATCAGTGGTCTTGTATGTCCTCCATTTTCTGATAATTGCTTCCACAGTTGATTTTTTTACACCAAGCTGCTTGCCTATTGTAGATTCACTCTTCCCAGTCTGGTGCAGGTCTACAATTCTTTTCCTGGTGTCCTTCGACAGCTCTTTGGTCTTGGCCATAAGGGAGTTTGGAGTCTGACTGTTTGAGGCTGTGGACAGGTGTCTTTTATACAGAAAACCAGTTCAAACAGGTGCCATTAACACAGGTAACAAGTGGAGGACAGAAGAGCTTCTTAAAGAAGAAGTTACAGGTCTGTGAGAGCCAGAGATCTTCCTTGTTTGAAGTGACCAAATACTTATTTTCAACCATCATTTACAAATAAATTCTTTAAAAATCCTACAATGTGAATTCCTGGATTTTTTTTCACATTCTGTCTCTCACAGTTGAAGTGAACCTATGATGAAAATTACAGACCTCAGAGAACTTGCACAATCGGTGGCTGACTAAATACTTTTTTGCCCCACTGTATAAGTGTTAATTATTTAGTGTTAGTTAGTGCTAGTGTTAATTATATAGTGGTTAAATAAGAATGAATCTGAAGCTGGATTTGATGGAAATAAGTCCAGACTTAACAAAGACTATTTTGTTATTCTAATTGATTATTTTCTTAATTAATATTAAATAATAATGATACTGTTAATTTGAAGTTCTTGATTTAGTGTTACAAAGTTCTTCATGTTGTCATGAGGATGGTCCAACACTTCTGTTGAGCAGTGAGCACTGTATATTCTAGTGCCTTTACCTCGTATAGAACTTTGAATATAACACTTTTTGGTGTCCGCTCTTGCACCGCAGTTACTACTGTGTTCGGGTGACTCTTCTGCTTTGCCAGCGATGCCGTGGCGTCGGTACAGATGCGAAGAGAAGCGTAGCGAGAACAGTAGTTCTACAGAGCGATGTAGTGGCAAGGCAAGGCAAGGCAAGGCAAGGCAAGGCAAGTTTATTTGTATAGCACAATTCATACACAAGGCAACTCAAAGTGCTGAACAAGATGCATTAAAATCATAAATAATTACAGAACATTAAAACAAAAGATAAAAATATAAAATCCCTCAGTTGTATGCACAGCTAAATAGCACCGTTTTTAACCTGGTTTTAAACATTGTCAGAGAGGAGGCCTGTCTCACATCTTCAGGAAGAATGTTCCAGATTTTAGCAGCATGAATCTGAAAAGCAGCCTCCCCATGTTTAGTTCTGACTCTGGGCACTAACAGGAGTCCAGTCCCTGTGCTCCTCAGAGTCCGGGCTGGTTCATATGGGACTAACATGTCACTAATATATTTTGGTGCGAGGCCATGGAGAGACTTGTACACAAGCAGAGCTGTTTTAAAGTCTATTCTCTGAGCCACAGGAAGCCAGTGCAGAGACCTGAGAACTGGACTAATGTGGTCGTACTTCCTGGTTCTAGTCAGGACTCGAGCTTCTGCATTTTGAATGTACTGCAGCTGTTTTACAGCCTGTTTGGACAGACCTGTGAGCAGGCCACTGCAGTAGTCCTAACCTACTGGAGACAAATGCATGGATAAGAATCTCCAGGTCTGCTTTAGACACTATGTTTTTGATCCTGGCAATGTTTTTTAGATGGTAAAAAGCTGCTGATGTTACTGATTTGATGTGGCTATTAAAATTTAAGTCTGAGTCCGGTATTACCCCTAGATTTCTGACCTTGTTTGAAGGTTTTAGGGAGAGAGACTGTAGGTGACAGATGACGCTCTCTCTTTGTTTCTGGGGACCAAAGACAATAATTTCAGTTTTGTCTGCGTTTAGCTGAAGGAAGTTGTTTTGCATCCACTCACTGATCTGTTGGATACAGTGAAGGAGTGAGTCCACTGGTCCATGTTCTCCTGCAGTCAGTGAGACATAGATCTGAGTGTCGTCTGCATAGTTATGATAGGTCAGGGCCATATGATCTGAGACACAGTTTCCAATCTCCACAAAGTACTTCCTGTCTTCAAGGTAAGACCTAAACCAACTTAGGGCGGTGCCAGCGACGCCAACCCAGTCCTCTAGTCTCTGTAAGAGGATCTCATGGTCGACAGTGTCAAAGGCAGCACTCAGATCTAACAGGATTAGGATTGAGACTTTGCCTGCGTCAGTGTTCAGCCGGATATCATTTGTAACCTTGACGAGAGCAGTCTCAGTGCTGTGGTGGGGTCTAAAGCCGGACTGAAACATATCAAATGAGTTGTTGATTATAAGAAATCTAGTAAGCTGTAGGTAGACAACTTTTTCAAGGACTTTCCCCATAAATGGCAGATTTGAGATGGGACGATAGTTGTTAAGTACCGTAGCATCCAGACTGCTCTTTTTTAGCAGGGGCCTGATGACTGCAGTTTTCAGGGCCTTTGGGAATATTCCAGAATCAAGGGACATGTTTACTATCTGTGTGAGTGAAGGTAACAGACTGCTCAGAACAGACTTTAGAAATCTAGTGGGTAGTACATCCAGGCTGCATGTGGAGGAGCTCAAACTGGAGATTATCTCTTGGACAGTTTGATCATTTACAGGTGCAA